AAAAAATTGCCGTCCATCTAGCGGCGAAAGTTGGAACTACAAAAATAGAAAATCGCGATTTTCTCGAAAACTAGGGAGTTTTCCGAAATTCTGAGATATACAAATTGTTCCCTGTCGCCTACGAAATGGAACGAGTCTAATTAGAACCCGCTAGGACCATTATTAAAGAAAATAGAAAAATAGCCCATTTCATGGACTAAAAAATTGCCGTCCATCTAGCGGCGAAAGTTGGAACTACAAAAATAGAAAATCTCGATTTTCTCGAAAACTAGGGATTTTTCCGAAATTCTGAGATATACAAATTGTTCCTTGTCGCCTACGGAATCGAACGAATCTAATTATAGCCTGCTAGGACCATTATTAAAGAAAATAGAAAACATGTTCGGAGTTTATTAAATAACAATTTGACCTTTGTTGAATTCTTATAAACTTACATAATAAGATTACTGTTCAAGATTTTTAAAGCCCAAATTTAATGACTATATAATTAGTTTTTAAATCGGAGCATTTTTTATTTTTTAAAAAATTTGCTGGGCAAAATCCTGGGTCGTCCCATGAAACCGCTGGTGCCCAAAAAGTTCGGTGAGCGCTCGAAAATGTAGCTGGAACTTTAACGGCCAATTTTCAACTTTAACCCCATGCGCAGTCCTAACCGGTTAGAGTTAGGCCTGCGCAGTAAGTTTCCGAAAAAGAGGATTAGCCCAGAAAAGCTAAAAAAGCCCGAATTTAATGAATATATAATTAGTTTTTAAATCGGAGCATTTTTTATTTTTTAAAAAATTTGCTGGGCAAAATCCTGGGTCGTCCCATGAAACCGCTGGTGCTCAAAAAGTTCGGTGAGCGCTCGAAAATGATGCTGGAACTTTAACGGCCAATTTTGCACTTTGACCCCATGCCCAGTTGCAAACCGTTACAAGTAGTGCAGGTTTTTTTTTTTTATTCGAATAAAGACAATTAGGCCCAAACTGGCCCATTTATGGACTAAGAAATTGGCGTCCATCTTGCGGCGAAACGGGTGAACTAAACCTAAGAAATGAGGGTCCGCTCACGCATGTATGGAAAATAAAAAAATGAATATTTCGGCACTTTGGCGACGTAGTACGGTTCGTGAGGCATTTAGAAACAAATTTCTATTAGTGTTTGATGCGTTTTGATGCCTAATAAAGGCAGAAAATCAATTTTTGTAGAATTCGGTCCAAAACGGTACAGGTGGCGCCATCTAGCGGCGAGCGGCGGAACTACGAAAAACTAAAATTTCGATTTTCTCGAAAACTAGGGACTTTTCCGAAATTCTGAGATATACAAATTTTTCCTTGTCGCCTACGGAATCGAACGAATCTAATTAGAGCCCGCTAGGACCATTATTAAAGAAAATAGAAAAATAGTCCTTTTTCTATTTTCTTTAATAATGGTCCTAGCGGGCTCTAATTAGATTCGTTCGATTCCGTAGGCGACAAGGAAAAATTTGTATATCTCAGAATTTCGGAAAAGTCCCTAGTTTTCGAGAAAATCGAAATTTTAGTTTTTCGTAGTTCCGCCGCTCGCCGCTAGATGGCGCCACCTGTACCGTTTTGGACCGAATTCTACAAAAATTGATTTTCTGCCTTTATTAGGCATCAAAACGCATCAAACCCTAATAGAAATTTGTTTCTAAATGCCTCACGAACCGTACTACGTCGCCAAAGTGCCGAAATATTGCACTTTGCATGCGCAGTAGAATTGACATAGACGGCTTATGTACGTACGTATCGCAATGCTGACACAAAATATTTAATTACTCATTACCCAAACATTATTTACGAACTTTTATGATCGAACCATACGGCGCCACAAATTTTCTCCATAAAATGACATTTTCTTTATTTTCTTTAATAATGGTCCTAGCGGGCTATAATTAGATTCGCTCGTGCACAAAATATATCCACAAAACGTGTAATTAATTATTCAAAATGACCTGGTGTATACCGCTTGTCACCGCGGCTGGGCTTAGGTCATTAGTTAATAACTAATTATTTTCAATAAAAATCTGAACAAATATGATACGAGAAAGTAGTTGAGGGATCACTGAACATTCGCTTATAATAAAAGTGCATAGACTGTACTCAAAAAGTAAGTAATTAACGATTTTGCATACTCATTATCGTGTATATTCCTTCTACGCGCCGCCCGCGTATGCCATGGAGGAATAATCACCAAAAATCATATCCCCGTAGACTTTAACGCAAAATTGAATTTGCTCGCGCTTATGTACTCGACTTTTCAACTTTTTTGTCCACGTTTTTCTCTTGCACCACTTAACCAATTCGACCGGATGACACGGTTGACTATTTTTGCTTTAGCGTGAAATCTACTCGCTCACTCAACATTGTTAGGTTAGGCGCGGAGCGCCTCAATCAAACAGACCTAGTTAGCTTTCTACAATATCCTGTGCTACAGCGCATTCTAATATGTACATATTATTATGATGATTCCGTCCTAGAATTAAGTGTTAATAATGTATCTATTAATAAAATATATTAAGTCATTTGATGTACAAAAGTGTTTGAAATTTTCTTTATTTTCCCCACTTTTTTTACAGTGCATAACTTAATTAAACTTATTGTTTAATTGTTTAATTACTAACTTGTGGAACGCCCGTGCTATGCACCGGGAATTAATCGGTTAACCTTGACGCCCTGCGCAGTCCTAAACCGTAAAAGATAGACATGCGTAGTAAATTTTTGCAGAGTAATGAAAGAAAAAGGAGCTGCAGCACTCTCAATGATGACGTAATTAGTTTTTACATATCCCTTAAAAAGTATTCCTTAATAAGGGTTTTACTGAACTATCATTGTAAGAGTACATATATAATATTTTTCTGCCTTATTTTCCAACATGCATACAACGTCTCAGCGTAATGTTTTTGCGTTATAATATGATGATACAGCGAATAGCTAAAAAATAATCTTTGTATTCTACTCTAAAATAGGAAATGAAAAGCTTATATACGCTAGACTTATTTAAATTATCATACAGAAAAACAAATGAATGTGAGAGAAATATATTTGCGCATTTACATTTGTATTCTGAAAGAGCATTTCCACAGAGTATCACATTAGTTTTTAATGTATAATTATCAAAGTATACATCAATGTTTCAATAATACGAAGTTGCGATAGTATTATTACGTCTATAATGATTGTTATTAATTTACAAGACTTTTTACACAGATTACAATAATGGGTTATTAATTAATAGAAGTCTGCAGGGATAATATAAGTATTAAATATGAAATTTAATACTTTATGAGGGGGGAAACAAAAGAAACAGTGTGTAATGATTTTCCTGCTATTTTCGGACATTACAAATTTATGTCTAAAACACGCGTACAGTTATAATTTCTAATATTTGATACAGAAATATTTCTGAAATTAAAAAAATTTATAAGTTTTATCTACACTTGATAATTTACGGCCATTCTTTATGAGGCCATTATTATAATGTCTGTATCACGTACACATATATCGAAAAACTGTATCGAGAATTAGTACCTTGCAGTTTAATTATTTCATGATAATTGTTAAATCATTGCAAAAAATATTCTATTACAGAAAAATTGATGTAATTAATCAATCAACGGATTTGTAAAGCGAAATCTTGAAGAAATTTGTAACCTGCAGACCCCTCGACTTTTTTGGTTCTTTTTGTTTTATACGTATTCCCCATTAATACAATATAAATCTATATCTTTCAGAAGTGTTGTAAATTTTATAATAATTATGAACTTAAAAAATCTATAATACATTTTTTGTGTGTATATTATCTTTTCCAACAGGTGTTTACATAAGAATCTTAACGATTACTTATTCTATTATTCTGCATATAACTTGCCGGGAAGTTTTTACTTTAACAGATGAAGCGTCAAAAATGATTGGATCTCATACTATAAAGAATAACTTTTAACCTGACGATTATCTATTACGTAACACACTTATCAAATAAGGCAGCAATGCATAGTTTTTTCAATTATACACGCTTCATTCATTAAAGTACAATGATACGTGAAGGATGCACGTAACATTTTTAAACCTTGTACTACATTCAGAAAAATGTTTAGGGGACAATTTCGTTTTCGTAGAGTAATAAAACATCTAAATATATATATATATGTATCAACAGTGATCTTTTTATCATCGCATACTAATTGGTCAAGATAATATCGATTACGTTTTCCGAAATTTTATGTTGAATAAATATGACCAATTTTTTATAAAAAAAATTATGTTATGGTATTCATAAAAACAGAAGCAAAAAAATTGGATTTATGAACATATGAAAATATTGTGCAGGATCATATTAAACCATTTTTGTTCTGCACTTTACAATTTTACATCTATGACTTAAACTAATATTCAAATGACTATCATAGTAACAAAAGTTCCTTGTTAATATTAGTAAGAACGAATGTAATACTATAAGAATTTACATATTTGTAATTTATATTTGCATCATTTTAAGATCACATTCCTCTTCGTGGTGCACTCGGAACTAATAATTGCAAAGCAGTCATTGCATCCGGAAACAATGAATGGTAATTTACAACTGGCACATATGCGGCTGTAATCACTCGACCAGCAAACCATCTGCCATGTAACGAATTAACAGCCGCAACTGCTGTCGCGATTGACGGACACTTGACATAAACATTACCCTGAGGAGAAGCTTGGTCCACGTACACATGTAGTACCCCACCATGTTTATTACATTCTTCTATAACATCATCGCGAATTTCTTTTGCCCAATTTGGATTTGTCTCACTGAAACGAAAATTTCCATTTGTATTTAAGTTATGCCTTTATTATATAATAAATAAATTTTAATTATTTTTGTCAAGTTACGTCTCAATATATTCACATAAAAATATGTAAAATAATTTCCGGACATAACTTATTTCATTTAGCATATATTTTCCCCTAGTGAAAGAATAAAACATTTAACACTAGTCTACAAATATGCATTTTTCTATGAACGTTTCTATATAACAACGCTAACTTACTTTTGTGGATCAAACATATTTGATAACATGAAGCATTGAGTTGCTATAGGCGGGGCAGCTTGTGGTGGTGGTTGTGGTGTTGACATAACCGGAGCCATATTTAATGCATTTGCAGCTGCAGGAGGTATTTCTAGCCCAGTTCCTTCAGCTAACTTAAACATTAATTGCAATCTAAAAATATTAAATGTAGTTTTAATCATAAGTTATTATTAAACAAACAAAATTGTATTAACATTTCATACCTTCCAGTAGCACCAAGATCAATACCACTTCGATCTAATTCATCTGTATCGAGAAGCGAAGGTCCTTGAATTAAATCTGTACGTTCTGTAACATTACCAACTTTCATTGGTCTTCCAGCAAGTTCAAATCCATTCAATTGTTCTAAAGCTTTCTTCGCGTCATCGGCATTTCTGAACTATAAACATCAAAATGCAAATATATTTTAAAGAAAACAAACAACAACTTAATACATACCGTTAAAAATCCGTAGCCTTTACTACGACCAGTTTCTGGATCCATTATTAATTGAATGTTATCAATTTTTCCAAAAGGTTCAAAAATGCCACGAAGCATGTCTTCCGTGATATTAAAGTGTAGAGATCCAACGTACAACCTCATAGGTCCTGTTTGACCCTTTGGCATAAGATTTGGCATAGAATTACCCATACGATTCTTTTCAGCTTGAGTATGTTGTACTACTATAGGAACACCAAGAAGTTTCTGACCTGATAAACCAAGTGCCTACAAAAGAATTACAGGCGATATTATTATATCAATTAATTAACAGTAAATTTAATTATGAACTTGAATCATATATTAAACTTACCAGCGTAACACTTTCAGGATCTTTGAATTCAACATATGCTATACCTTTAAACCTTCTTGTTTTGTTACATGTGATAAGTCGGACATCCTGAACTTTACCGACACTGGAAAAAAAGTCTTCTAAATCGCGAGCACGTATGCGTTGACTCAATTGCATACAAAAAACAGTTCTGGCATCACGTTCTTCTGGTGTTAACTCATCGTTTCTACTAAAATAAACATTATGCAAACAGTGAAGACAAACTTGTAAAGAATGCAAATTTACGTCTTAAATAGTACTATTATTATCTTATTTCAATTCGATGATAAAAAGACTTGTAAACTTATATACTTACATTCCAAGGGGACTAACACCTTTTCCAAATGGTGGCCGTGCTCTAGGAAGCGTGATAGGTGTAAGTGACCGTTTCCTTCTTCTGTCTCTATCGCGGTCTCTATCTCGACGATCCCTGTCTCTATCGTTGTCTCTGTCTCTATCACGGTCTCTCCGATCTCTTGATCTCGATCTACGTCGACGATCACGATCACGATCACGATCACGATCTCTATCTCTGTCGCGATCTCGATCTCTGTCTCTGTCTCTTTCACGATCTCGACGATCTTTCTCCCTACGGTCTCGCGAACGAGAACGGGAACGAGAACGATGTTTACTTTTCCTACAAGAAAAACACATTTCACTTAAGAAATTTGTCATATTTATGATAACATAATTAATATAAATTAATTAATATGAATAATTTATGAAATAGTAACGTTCCAACTTACTAATCCGAACCCTTAGTAGTAAAAACAATTTATGTAGCATATTTTAGAAATAATTAACATCCACATCATATTAATTACTATAATAAACAGAAAACGAATCTTTGTGCTATTTTCATTTTTACTTCTTTTTTTATATCTGAGCAGTTATCTAGTCATTGTTTAGTATACTTTACATTTAACAGTGTCTGTAGTACAGATATTCTTCCTAAACACTTACCATTTTCAGGTTTAACCTTTGGAATTATGAAAATAACCAGCATTTACACTAATTGTATGGGGTCTATAACAAAGAGAATATAACTTCAAATAGCTATATGTATGCACAAAATGACTATTTTGAATTTTTCTCAGACAAATTATGTATAGTCCTCAATTTAAAATGCTAAAGGTTCAGACGAAGTAGTATAAATATTTGTACATATATGTACTTTATCATATTGAAAATAATGTAATACAAGAGTATTTCGTGATAATACATAAAAATACAGATATACATTTAAAAATAAAATAATAAAAATATGTACCCATGGCCCTATATTTAAATCTAAATTTGTTTTTGATACTTTATGCTCTCTATTATTTTATTTGAACTATTTTCATAGTTTAAAAGTCTTTACTAACTAACAAGTGCTATTATAATATACTATGTGCTACTGAAAAGAAAGTATTAATCAAGTCAAATATAATCCATAAAATATGCTTACCCAGATGATTTACGGCTAGACCCATTCTCCTTGGAGGATTTGTCTTTGGATGAGGAGTCCTGCTCCTACGAACAGCAAACAGTTGAATGCCATGCCAGCCAGCCGATGTGGCAGGGACGCGCGAACAAGGGGACAAAAAGCAAATCATAGAATGTTAGTAAATTTTGTAAAAACAAATTGCGTACATATTGTACAATTTAAAAGTTTGACAGTAGATTCAAAAATAAAATATATCAATAATGAAGTTCTGTCATCTGTTAATTTTTATAACCATGTGGACAACTCTCCTTCGAGAACTATATTAACCAAGATTTAATTGCTGTTGGACGGTGGTGCACTCTCGTGCTCTTTCTCTTTTCCAGGTAGATTATATTGGTCTGAGAGGGCTGAGATGGGGACACAGAGAAGTAAAAACAATTTATGTAGCATATTTTAGAAATAATTAACATCCACATCATATTAATTACTATAATAAACAGAAAACGAATCTTTGTGCTATTTTCATTTTTACTTCTTTTTTTATATCTGAGCAGTTATCTAGTCATTGTTTAGTATACTTTACATTTAACAGTGTCTGTAGTACAGATATTCTTCCTAAACACTTACCATTTTCAGGTTTAACCTTTGGAATTATGAAAATAACCAGCATTTACACTAATTGTATGGGGTCTATAACAAAGAGAATATAACTTCAAATAGCTATATGTATGCACAAAATGACTATTTTGAATTTTTCTCAGACAAATTATGTATAGTCCTCAATTTAAAATGCTAAAGGTTCAGACGAAGTAGTATAAATATTTGTACATATATGTACTTTATCATATTGAAAATAATGTAATACAAGAGTATTTCGTGATAATACATAAAAATACAGATATACATTTAAAAATAAAATAATAAAAATATGTACCCATGGCCCTATATTTAAATCTAAATTTGTTTTTGATACTTTATGCTCTCTATTATTTTATTTGAACTATTTTCATAGTTTAAAAGTCTTTACTAACTAACAAGTGCTATTATAATATACTATGTGCTACTGAAAAGAAAGTATTAATCAAGTCAAATATAATCCATAAAATATGCTTACCCAGATGATTTACGGCTAGACCCATTCTCCTTGGAGGATTTGTCTTTGGATGAGGAGTCCTGCTCCTACGAACAGCAAACAGTTGAATGCCATGCCAGCCAGCCGATGTGGCAGGGACGCGCGAACAAGGGGACAAAAAGCAAATCATAGAATGTTAGTAAATTTTGTAAAAACAAATTGCGTACATATTGTACAATTTAAAAGTTTGACAGTAGATTCAAAAATAAAATATATCAATAATGAAGTTCTGTCATCTGTTAATTTTTATAACCATGTGGACAACTCTCCTTCGAGAACTATATTAACCAAGATTTAATTGCTGTTGGACGGTGGTGCACTCTCGTGCTCTTTCTCTTTTCCAGGTAGATTATATTGGTCTGAGAGGGCTGAGATGGGGACACAGAGAAGAGAGAGAGAGAAAGAGAGAGAAAGAGAGAGAGAGAGAGAGAGAGAGACGGGGCGAGCATAGTGTTGCGATGCCTCGCATACACCTGGCTCAAACTTACCAATCGTTTTATCGGGTTTTAGGAAAGCATTGCAATCTTGGGTTGAGCATGCCTTGGTCTTAAACTACCAATGGCCAACCACACATCCTTTTTCTTCTGCAAAAGAGAGCCCTCATCAAAGACAGTACGTTTTTAATGTAACACGAGATGTGAACCCTAATTGCTAACCTACAACCCCTGTATGTATATAGATTAAACTATCTCAGAATAGGAATAAAATGATCAACAATCGTTTGCAGCTTCCAGTAGATATATCACAAGATGATTTAGCTGTGTAGAGAAAATGTTTCAGATGATTAAAGCTAACATAAATTTAATATATGACATTAATGCAATGAAATGATGATAATAATGTTGCGTGATTCTGGTCAAAATGATTCTTTTAAAACATTTTCTCATTTAAATAACATAATTTATTTTCTGTTTGCCAATTTACCATGCATTGTATCCCGGAAGTATTACCTCCGATTTAAAATAAGATGCAATGATAATGCAATTAAAGAAAGTTATAAACATTAAAAAAAGAATAACATGTACATATATTTTAATGAAACTATATTTTTTAATTATAATAATACGTATTATAACAAAAATTTACAATTACTTCTTCTTTTGAGATTATAGGTTATAAAACAATGTATTTTATACACAGTAAAAACAAAAACATATATTATACAATTGAAATATGTACATTAATCTACGATGTAACTTAATTTATTAAACAAAACTGTAATCATACAATTAACTTCATAACAGGTATAGAGTAATAAAATTATTCATAATCTTGTTTAATGCATGGATAAAATGAATTTTTATTTTATTACAGTTTAATGTTAGAAATGTTCATAATGATTCAAACAATACACAGCTATATCCCAATTTTGTAAATTTTAGATAATTACATCAATGTGTAATTTTGTCAAAAAGAAAGGACAATGTATGATACACAAACAAATGTATACATAAATGAAAAGAGTACCCTTATTATTCTACCTATTGATACAACAGCTGCGTACAAAAATTGGATTCTTCTAGAATATATTATCACGAATGATAGTATTATCAATTTTAATGTATGGAAAGCAACTGATTTTTAATAAAATTACTGAATTTATTTTTTCACACTTGTGTTCTAAAGATAACAAGAATAGCATGGCACATGGCAGAACAGCACCTACCAAATCCACCTATATCTTTCTTTATACATTGTTTGCAAAATATCTTTTTATTCTTTTTAATGTCATTAAAAAATGACAATAGCAATTCTATCTACATCGTAAATAATAAACGTTACGATCTCTGAGGAAAAAATTAAAAAAAAAAAGAAAGAAAAAGAATTAAGTAAATGATGTTAGTGATGGCTTTTCTTAATACCTCGTATTTCAAGTGCATTCTAGGAACTCGCTGCCGAACATCCTACGAGCGCGAGGGTACATGTTACGTACCATCTATAAGTACAGAAAACGGAGGTATTGATCAATAGTCGGTATAAGACAAGGGCGTACTTTGTTCTACATGTATATACGGGAAGGAAAGGACGTTTCTTTCTTCTCGATCGCAACGATAAATATACTCAGAACGGTGCGCACCGTATTGGATCTTATGCGTCGAGATTAGGTACATTTTACAGGATAAAAATAGTCAGGAACTCGAAGGAACGAACCGAAACATATAAAGATAAAAAAAAAGAATTAAGTCTTACCCCTTTCTTATATGGCGCCTCCAACATTGCTTCGACATCCAAATCCTCCGCCATTGTGCGAGTTGGTGAGCTTTCTGAAATACCACGCATTAGCACACGATAATCCAAATTACGATGCTCGGAAAAAAGGACTATGAGAATATTATGCAACGTACAGACTAACAAACGTTTTTAATACACGACTGAAACGTTTAATAATTTTTAAAAGCGTTAAGATCGATAATGAATGTACATGAACGCAATCGTACGCGATGATGACCAAAAGAAAATGGAGAACCGGATGTGAATAAACGAATTCAGCGCCACTCTTTTGGAAACAATATATTGTATTATTTCAAGATCCGGTTTTCAAGTTTACACACAATTTATGAGAAACTTCACCTACGATCTTATAATTCTTATAATTTACAATCGGGAATTTGTTTCAGTGTATTTTTAAATAATTTCTTTTCTAATATCAGATTAATTTACAAATATGAATGATGATATACTTAGTATCAATTTATAATATTTATATAAAAAATTGACATCCTATTTATAAGAATAATCAATACAAGAAATATAGTTAGTTATTGCAATTAACAATAAATCTATTTTAAATAAAACAGATTTATTAGATGAACTGAAAAAATGTTGAATATCTAGAATAAGCGAACTCTATCGGAGAAAATTGAAAATATACTATGCGTTTTCCGAGTATCTTCAAAGTTAGCTAACTTTATGCTAGACATGAATACATGACGTAACAGTCTGGCGCAGTTTGCCCGAGTTTGCCTAGTGGCCATTTTGTTTTCAATCGCTCGACCAGCTAAGGTATTTTTATATAAAGATATTTCGTGTAATTATAGGATATTTAGGTGATTAACATAATCGACGAATTATTTTAAAAACTCTTTAAAAAGCTCTATTTATATTTTCATAAGAACTGATTAAGATATTAATTAAAAATCTTATTTAGTCTTGGGTAAGGGTTTCTCCTCTCAATCTCCCTTTTTCTGATAGTTGGCTTAATGTAAATTAAATGTTCATTTATTAAAACATGATTTGAAATTATGACGTATAATACTTCATAAATTATCTAAAAGTAATGTAAATGTACTGTTTCGTGGATGATTTTTTTATACGAAATATCACATCGAAACTAAAATCGTATAATTTACGTATTAAGTATTATAAATTGTAATTTAACATAATGATATGTTTTCAGAACTTTGTTTTATTAACACAAATAATACATTTCATATCAATGTCATTAATATATCAAACATTAATATGTATATGTTGTGTAAAATAACAAAATATTTATTATTTAAGTTAAATATTATGTAGTTTATTTAAGTTGAGTATTGCAAACAGTATAGTTTACAATATTATTGTTAATAATGTTTTCAATAAACAAATATTTCAAGAGAAGAATGTTATAAAATTATATAACAGCAAATACTAATATCAGTGACAATGTAACATTGATTATAACTTAATATCTATAGTGTTGAATTTCTATTCAGTTAAGTTTAACTATTGATAAAATATGAATTGGATTAAATTTATATGTTTAGAAATTTTTTAAATTAATGAATTCTAGCTTTGGTTAAACATTTTAATACTAATCAAAATATCTTGATCTCTCGCTATAAATCCGTTTGTCTCTTGCAAATGCGTACATATAAAACCAATCAGATAAAGGCGTGGTAAGAAGAAATGGACAGTGTACTCATAGAAGGCAGTTTCTATCCTTATAGGTGTCCATCTGTCCATTCAGCCTGGAGAGAGAGGCACTCAAGTTCGACGATGGATTCAAAACGGCATGAACGGGGCTCCAAGTCCAATACAGACTCGCCACCTGCTCCACCTTCGCCTCCTATGTATAGCGCATCGTACACGACGTATGATGGGTACAAAAACAGATTGTCGTCGCGTCGGTCACCTTCACCTTCGGAGTATAGAAGCAGTAGAACTTCCCGAAATGATTCACCACAGGACAGACGTAGAAGAAGGCGCAGTACTTCAAAATCTTCTCCAAGTCGATCGCATAAACGATCTCGGTCACCTGATAGAGATAAAGATCGAGATAGGGACAGAGATCGATCACGAAAATATTCTAGAAGAGACAGATCACGATCTAGGTCAAAAGGAAGATCACGTTCCAGAGATAGAAGACGTAGCCGTAGTCGTAATAGGAGTAGAGATAGACACAGAGGCAGAGAAAGCCGTAGATATCATAGAGCACCATCATATGAATCAGATACTGCTGAAGATAATACAGAAACAAATATATCACAACCGGCTGTTCCTATACAATCTAATGCTTTCAAAAACGATGGTAGTTTTATGGAAATGTTCAAAAAAATGCAGGAACAAATGCAACCTGCACAAAAACCGACGACTTCTGTTTTGGAAGAGAAAAGTGTTGTTCCTCCACCATTAATGGTGGGAAAGAGGCGAGGAGGGAGAATTTTAAAAACTGGAATGGTTGCTAAACCAAAGACTGAACAAACCGTTGAACAGCCCAAGGATGCCTGGTCACTTTATATGGCTGAAGTAAAAAAATACAGAGAAGTTTGTTGTCAAGAAGAAGACAACACAAGACCATTGGTCAAATAGTTGACTTTAACATAATTATTTCTCATTTATCTATGATCAATGTCATTTCAAAAGATACTGTATTCAATTTAATTACTTTGTGGATGCATTTAAGCATAGAAGAATAATTATCGACCCAGTTTAAAGAATTTCAACTGTACTAAAATTATTTTGAGTTTCAATAAGCTTCAAAGTAAAGTATTTTAATACTTAAGTAAACATATTATATGCAGAAATGTACATGAACGTGATTATTCATAATCTTTATGTTTTTTAATTATTATATAAAATGTACAGTATGCGTTCAATAGATATGATAAATGCATAGTATGAAATGATATCAAATTTTGACTTAAAAAGCATTATTAATATAATATGAGATTGGAAAAGGAATGTAGTCAAGAAATAACTATTATTTATAATAGTGTGTTAAATGGTGCAAGAGATGAACGGACTAAAGCGAGAGACAAATAGAGTTTGCTTTTTGAGAAAGAGGGAGGGTAACGTATGTAGCGCTTTCAACAAATATGATTATTAAATACCTTATAACTTGTTAAGCAGCAACAGTATGGTTAAATACACGCAAATTGGAACTGCACCTGATTTACGTATAGATGCACCCCCTGATGTGAAACCACAGACAGCACCATATGATCCAAGGTTTCCAAATCAAAACCAGACAAAGTAAATGAATAATTCGTATTTTGAAATTATGTAGCTTTCTTTCTATATAAAATTGCTTATTTATATTTGTTTGAATATAGGTATTGTTATACTAGTTACTTGGATTTTCATCGTTGCAAGAAACGTCATAGTGAAGAATATGAAGCATGTCAATACTTCAAGAAAGTGTACAGTACAATGTGTCCAAATGCTTGGATAGAAAAATGGAATGAACAGGTTGAAAATGGAACCTTCCCAGGAAACATATAATAGAAACGCTACAATACACTTATCCCTTCTTTAGTGATGATTATGTGGAACAGGATTATACAAGATTCTCTTCCTGTTTGTAAAATAATTAATATTAAATAAATTAAAAATAGTTTAATTTGTATGCATTCTTGTTAATTATTATTTTCATTTAAATGTAATCATTCTACATAAATAAAAAACATTACTGAAATGTTAACAGTAGAAGATAAATATCTAAATACAATACAAAATATCAGTTTAATATAACCCGATATTACATGTATTCTTTTATAAACGTACGAAAATATTAAAGAAGCAAGAAGATATTGTAAAAATTTTGATATTGATACAATTATTTTTGTAGGAAATGTAAGGTTACATTTATACATACTGTATATACCCGGATTAATTAATATATAATGATAAACGGTTTCAATTATTGAATTAGTAGTGCTGTTAATATAGCTTGGAGCATATTATTGTCTATTAAATCGAAAAAATCAATAATAATTAAATTGATGAAAGAAAAGAAAAGAAAAATCGTACTAGTACAAATATTGCCATCTAGTGATCAACGACAGTACTCGAAAAACATAAATTTTTGGTCTGTATGGCTATATAGTTGTGGCGTTTTATTGAGTATTTATTGAGAATAAGTTTGATGAAGGTATTGATATACCTGAAAATTTTTTGTACTGTACCTTAGTTGTAGATAGAGCTCAATGCAAAAATTGATTTCCAAAATAATATGAAAATGATGAAAGAAACCTAAAACCTAAAGCGCTGTGGGACATCTAACAAAAACAACAGTGATTTGAAGGGTCTATTTTGTACTTCATCTATGGTGCAACTATATAGTTAATTGTGTACCGTTAAATATTATCTTTATCTGTTTACACACCGGCGTGAAACTACACTAAACGTGGAATTGGCGTCGTATAGCTTAGGTATTAACAGGATTCATTTTGTGAAAGTACGAAAATATTAATAATTATTCTGAACAAATGAAATTGTATTACTTACTATAATTAATATATTCTCACTTTTTGATGTTAGTATGCAATAATATTAATAAAGAATTAAATGATACAGAAGATAGTTTTATCTCCGTCTTATTTTATGTATACTGAAATAAGATTAAACGTATGAAGTTGTTTGAAATTTAGAAATTGTAATATCAATTATTCATTGCAGAATGGATAATTATCAGCATTCGTATACTGCTATAAACAGTAAATTTACAAAGCATGGTAATAAAGAAAGATATCGAAGAAATAACTATAAATATGAAGAGAATCAGTTCTCTAATTCGAGCTACAACAATGTTGACTATGAATCTGAGAAATTTATTATACATATTAGCAGTGATAAAGTAGGAAAGTTAATTGGTAGAAGTGGAGCTAATATTAAAGATCTCCAAAGTAAAACAAATACAAAAATTCAAGTAAGCTATAATAAAACATCATTTATTTTTCTATAATTCAATAAAATTTATTTTTATAAGATAAATAGTAATTTAATTTATTAAACAAATTAGGCAAATAAAATAGTTTGATTTAGATTGACAGGTCAACAGGAAATGACACTACAGCAGTGACAATAATTGGTTCCAAGGAAGCACAACAGCATGCTAGCAATGAAATACAAGATTTATTAAAAGACTCTTTATACTTATCATTAGATGAAAAGAATGAGCATAAAGAGCAAAATGATGAACCAAAGATTGATTTTGCTGCATTTGATTGGAGTAAAGCTGGTAAAGAATGTGTAAGTGTTTATAAATTCTTTAATTTATTACATGTTTTTCCTTTTAAAATCAAATTTAATACGATTCATCAGGATGAGTACAGACAACAAAAATGGGCAAAATATGCCCCTATTATTAAAAATTTTTATAAAGAGCATCCAGATGTTGCTAAGATGACAAAAGAACAAGTAGCCCATATTAGAAAAACAAACAATAATATAGAAGTAAGATATATGTTTGAAGAACAAGAAAAGAGTTTAGAAGAATTTGACATACCAAATCCTATTGAAACATTTGAACAAGCTTTTGAGGTAAGTAAAAATATACCTATGTTAATGATAGTAATGGAGAATGTAATGTTTCAATTGGAAAATCATAAATTAGGATTACCCTGAAATACTAGAGGAAATAAGAAAACAAGGATTTACTAAACCAAGTCCAATACAGTGTCAAGCTTGGCCTGTTCTTCTCAGTGGTAAAGATCTTATTGGAATTGCACAGACAGGCACAGGTATATTGTTTAAATGTTTAATATTACTATGATAATATTTGATAGAACAACAAATATTTTATCAATAATATATTTAGGTAAAACTTTGGCATTTTTGTTGCCTGCCTTAATTCATATTGAAGGACAAGAAACACCAAGATCAGAGCGGAGTGGACCTAATGTTCTTATTATGGCACCCACCAGAGAATTAGCACTACAAATTGAAAAAGAAGTGAATAAATATTCTTATCATGGTATAAAAGCGTAAGTAATGTTATTATTGTATTTTTGTATATATTTCATTTAAATTGTATCCATTATTAAAGAAAAGTATTATTAAAGGGTATGTGTTTATGGAGGTGGCAGTCGCAAAGAACAAGTCAATATAGTAACAAAGGGTGTAGAAATAGTTATTGCAACTCCTGGTAGACTAAACGATCTTGTTGAGGCAAATATCTTAAACATCTCGTCAGTTACCTACCTTGTATTAGATGAAGCTGATCGTATGCTCGATATGGGATTTGAACCACAAATTAGGAAAACTTTATTAGATATAAGACCAGATCGACAGACGGTTATGACGAGGTATAAAAATTGTTAAAGAATATTAAAACAACATTTCACCTTTAAGAAATAATAACAATATCGTATACTCAATATTTTAGTGCTACATGGCCTCAAGGGGTTAGACGTTTAGCTCAATCATACATGAAAGATCCAATTCAAGTATTTGTTGGATCTCTCGACTTAGCTACTGTACATACAGTAATGCAAAAAATCTATATCATTGACGAAGAAGAGAAAACGAACATGGTTAGAACTATAAAAAATATTTATATGATTGCGTAAAAATTATATGTGAGGTTAAATATTCTATTTTTCAATAGATGTATCAATTTTTTCGTGAAATGTCTCCCACCGATAAGGTAATAGTATTTTTTGGGAAAAAATGTCGAGTTGATGACGTGGCGAGCGATTTAGCTTTACAAGGTGTTAATTGTCAAAGCATACATGGAGGAAGAGAGCAATGTGATAGAGAACAAGCATTAGAAGATTTAAAACTTGGTGAAGTACAAATACTTCTTGCAACGGACGTTGCCAGTCGAGGCATCGATATCGAAGATGTTACGTATGTTTAATTTTATATGCTTTAAGTATCTCATGTAAGTATCTTTAAGTTGTTGATGTTTAAATTTAATATAAAACACTTCTTTTCAGACATGTATTAAATTATGATTTTCCACGAGATATTGAGGAATACGTTCATCGAGTTGGTCGGACCGGTCGTGCTGGACGTACAGGAGAAAGTATAACATTTATGACAAGGAAAGATTGGTCTCTTGCGAAAGAATTAATTAATCTTTTAGAAGAAGCTAATCAAGTAAGCTATAAAATATTCATTATAGTTGTATTTTACATATATGTGTACATATATATATTTATTTTGTCCAAAGGAAGTACCTGAAGAACTGTATCAAATGGCTGATAGATATGAAGCACGAAGGGATAAACGAGATTTCCCTCATAGAAGAGGCAACAGAAGATATTAATTCTATATTCACATTCGTAAATTTATGTTCCTAATATTTGTATAAGCGAAAATGGACAGAATTATAAGCAGTTCCGTTTGATGTTTTTTTTTTTACATATATTTTTTTATTTTGTTTTGCGGCATATTGTATTTTATTTTTTATATAACAATTGTCGTAAAAAGTATAATGATGCTGGTTGTTTATACTTTAAATATAAACGAAATAAAAACTTAAATTTCATACATTAACTACAAAGCTATTGAACAATTTTATTATAACAGTTTTTATATACCTCCAAGCTTTATTGCAATCTATATATTTTGTTAGTTTTAGAATTCAGTCCTTAAATCTGTTTTCCAAGTTCAAACCTTTTCCTAGACAATCTACATCAACTACACCTTAAGTATGAAGTATTCCATGAGTAATACTGTTACCCAATGTAAATTTGATGTAGTTTTGGTGAACATCCTTGGTTCTACGAAGCAGTTACATTGTGTTAGTCAGTGCTTTATTTACATGCGACTATTAAATACAAACAATTTACTTTAATTTTGAACAAGTATACTTTTACAAAACTTTTTATGATAATGCATAATATGGTATAAAAAGAAAATAAAATGAAAGTATATTCTTTTAAAAAATACGTGAACAATATTTATATTTTTTATAAAATGTATAAATTATACAAATTTTTTATCAAAAGAACAAATAAATAATATCAAAAGGATAAATATTATACAGAGCTTACAAAGAAACTTACACAATGAACTTACATTCATTTATGAATCGGTGAATAGTGTTGAAGTATTTGAGGTAGCTCGATTTACACAATACTCATGAATTAGGACTTCATGATTTGCTAATTATTTTCTAGAAATAAGATCCTTAAACGACTTATTACATACTCGCGAAATTGTAATTCCCGTTGTTTTCTAGTATTGGAAATTAACTTACGAATTCAACTATGGCAATATGCACGAATTTTTAAATTTTTAATGAATTATATTTTTTACCACCAATTTAATCATCTATTACACATAAATATTCGCATTTTATCAACACTGGATAAATAATGCAGTACTTGTATGAGATGATTAACGTTTAAATTGTTTAAGTAATACAGTAGACAATATAAAATATAGTAAGACAACTGTATTAAAATACAGAAATGTTTACAATTTCTAAAAATAAATGATAAAAAAACAAATCACATAAATATAATTAATTTTGTTACCGTTGTCTTGAACAAAGAATAATTTGAAAAGTAATTAAAATATAAAAATTTTCTAAATATATCCAGATGTGCAAAATATGATAAAAAATATTTAATTATTTTTTTTATAAACTTATTAACGGACAGATAGTATTACTACTATAAATTACGATAAAATTTCTTGATTAAAAATCACCTATATGTATTGATATTAAATTTTAACTGTAAACTTTGAAATTTCGTGTTTTGGTATATTTTTCAGCAAATATTTTTCCGCTTGGAGTTGGAGTTGAAAATGCAATATCATCTAAAGACAATATATATCCGAAATAGAAGTGGCCTCTAAAATAGTTAAACAGACATTCATTAATTAAACAAATAAATAATGTATAGAAACATAAATATTTACCTTAGTATATCAACTAGTTTAGTAGCTATGCCTTGTCTACGATGATTTATATCAGTCCATACAACGTTTATACCACACTTAGCAGGACTACTTTCTGATGTACAACAATCTAATTCTAATAAATCAGGTATCATACGATACGCTGTTGTTATATATTCCGCAACTAATACTCCTAAAATTGCTTTGTCCCTTATGTACAGGTAGACCTAAAAATAACTTAGGTTAAAATGAAATTACAATTAGTATATAGTAAAATATTGATAATTACTCTCTTTCCCTCATAATTTGATACTTTTGCATCAACCAGTCCTAAATCTCTATCCACATACTCTAAAACATCTGCTACTTTCTTCCAACATTGTTTTGGATCATCTGGCTCTACCAGAATTACTCGACTTGATGTAAGAAGATCTTCCATAATTACACGTTCTGTTTTCCAGCCCTGTCATTGAAGTTTGTGATCATTAAATTTTGAATATGCTATTTGTATAAATTAAATTTGTACATTTTAAGGTGTAGATAGCATACCGAAAATTTTAAAGTTTTTTTATTGTTGTGATAATTTAAATGAGCATTTTCGTCTTCAGGATCTCCTATTTGATATACAACACCACATTCCATACATTGTGTTGCTCCAAAATTCTTTTGACCTGCATCTAATAAACATTGATTTTCACCACCATTTAATTTTACAGATAATTGCCAATTTCTATTTTCTTTTACGTTATGTATTGATTTATTGTCAATTTCGCTGAAACAGGAATTAAATTAATCTTTATTTAATTAAAAGTAATGTAGCAAAAATAAAGTTGCGTCGCACTTGAGAACAACAATCAACATGAAATACATAATAAAACGTACTTAAATACTTTATTAGTAGAATGTCCTTTATTAAATAGCGGATAATATTTGTGTTCTGATTCGTTTTCATCAGATTTTTTATCTTTACTATTTGTAGAAATATTTTCATCTGTTTTTGGTGTACTGATGTCTTTAATATTGATAGTTGATGTTATATCAGTAAGTTCACTTGCTGGTGATATGGTAACATCTTTTAATATTGCAACTGGTTTTAAAGGTGCAATGTTTTCAAATTTTTTTGTCATTACCATATCCATTGTATCATAATCATCATGGGCCCAATCATTTTCTAATATTTGTAATATATTATCAATGTTACTTTGTTCTACTGTTTTCTCTAATTCTGGTTCATCAACCATTAAATCAGTTGTATCAAAAGAAATGTCTGCAGGTTTTGTTCTACTATGACCTTCTTTTGTATTTTGACACTTGTTTTTTGGACTCAATTTCACGTTATCATTTGACAGGCTTTTTAATTTAATATTATTGTTTATTATAGCTGTAGTTGCAGAATTTTTCATAGATGATTTTTTAGTTTTGAAAAAGTGTTTATTACATTCAGTTTCTGGTGATGATACTTCTTGTGTGGATATTGTATTTGATGCAATATTGACATTCTTCTGCATATTATCTATGATTTTTGTGGTATTATTAAGTTTTTTAACATTTAAATTGGTTTTTGGCTTAGCTTTTTTGATACCATGCGAAACTCCAGCATTAATTCCTCCTATGGTGTGTCTTCTTAGTGATTTCCTTTGATATTTTGCATGTCCTGTAAGACTTTGCCTTTGCAATTTTAATTCTGTTGATTTATACACTACTTTATAATTTTTCTTTTCATTAGAATGATTATAAAAGTTTCTAGCACTTAAAGTCATATTCTTTAGTTTTGTTTCATAACCTTTATTCTGAAATAAAACTGCTCTAGGTTTAGGAACTGAATGATTTTCAGTGACTTTTAACAATTTTACAGGAGTATTTTCTAGTTCTTCAGTTGCGCGTCTCTTTAACGCATTTTCTTTCTTTTCAGATGAAAAATTTTCATCCGGCTTTTGTTTACATAATCTAGGCAACAAATTCATTTTATGTTTTGAAATCAACGGTGTTAATAATTTAATTTCTTTATTTCTGCATGAAGTTTCAATGATATCATATTGTAATTCTTTACCAAATTGTCTTTTAGGTGTTTCTGTTAAGACTTCACATTTGTCCCAAGGAAATGTTTTTGGACTGTCCTTTGAATACAATGAATTATTTACCATATTTTCCAGACTCATTTTATTTAAAATGTTTGTGCATATTCTATAAATAAGAACAAACAAATAAATTATGATTAAGAAACACACTTCAATGTCAAATATGTATAGTGCTTAGGGATCATTTTTAATGAAAAAATAAAATTTTTGTGATGTAAATATTGGAAAGAAGCATTGCATAAATTACAAAAATATTATAATTGTTTAAAATATTGTTATCGATACGTTACAATAAATTATATTGAACAAGATGAATCAATCGAACTCTTACAAACATAATAAATAACTAAACTAACCTGGTTATATACAAGGAATAACTACAAATTACATCTGTAGTCAATGTTTGTACAATACCACAAATACAAAACAAATATACCTTTCTTTAAATATTTTAAAATGTATGTTATTGTATTTGGATTAAACCGAATTGATACAAATTAGGCTGAAAAAACAATAACCGAATCAGATGACAACCGTGACAAACACATTGATTGCTATGAAATTTCCGTTTCTTTACTACACTTTCGCGCGCTTTCATATACACCTAAAACTATATAAATGATGATTTGAAACTCTATTGCATTTTATAGATTTTAAAAAGTATAGGCATCTAGCGATAGATGACGAGAACTAATCGAATTAAATTTGAAATACCTTACTTTAACATTGACTTGTTCGACCTATTATGCTGTAATATTTACTAAGTAGTAACATGAACTATTTGTACAATGTTTAAGAGCAAATATCTACTTGCGAAAATTTGATTATAATATCAGTTTCAAAAATGCTTGTTGTAAATTAGGCATAATGGGTCCTAATACGTGAATGTTATTGCGAATGGTGTAAATCTGATACCTTTAGCTGCCTTTTTGCCCAAGAGAAGCCAGACTTGCACATGAGTTTACTAAAAAATGTGAAAAAAGAATTTAAGATAAATGAAGATAAATACTGTTTTATTTAACGAGTAATAAATAATATAAATTCTATTACAAAAGTTCATTTAATTCGAATAAGTCATTGCTAATTCATGCAGAACAATATCTCCAGATATTTTAAGAGTATCGATGATATTCGGTTGTAATCTGTGTTTGAATTCACCAATCATTTTGTCACCTAGCCATATCGTGTATACTTCATGTTCGCATCGTATGCTATAAAACGAAAGAATTTATTAAAGTTTAATCTGGAAGCTACGTATAATAATCTTATGAAAACTAAACACGTGAAGCGTACGATAAAAGAAAATCACGTCCAGGCATCCAAGATAAATGTCCGTGATGCCTTTCCTCGTGTCCCCATGATCCATTCATCCAACAATTCATTACAACATAGGGTGCACTACTACCATATGAAAATCGGGGATTTAAATGTAAGGCAATTATAGGATGCGGATAAATTGCTTTCCCTTTTTGTAAGTTCACGTAAAACCTATTACAAATTGGAAAAATATATTCTATTATATTAAATCCTTTAGATTAAGAAAACATGGAAACTTACGAATGAGGAAGAAGCTTTAATCTTCCAGCTATAAAAAGTCTGGAGCCTGTTTTGAACTGACTGTCGATATCTACTGTAATGGGAACGCTCTTCACGTGAGCGTTGAATAACGAGATTTCAGTGTTAAGATAAATGAGAGCTAAACGATTTAGTACCTACAACAACTTACGAGAAACTCGACGAGTGGTCGATCGATTTTTAAGCTTAAAATATTGCTTGGTCTATATAATTTTGCATCTGGGTAAACAAATAATTCGAGTTGTCGAAATCTAATATCTTCTAATGATCCATTAATCTCGACACTTGTGATGTCATCAAGAGGCATCCTATACGAAAAGGCACAAAAATGCTCTCCGTTGATTGCGATCTAATGAAATTTATCTGATTTTAGATACATGTTTAAAATTAAAAAATTTCACTTGAAATGAATTCGTTACTTTAAAATGAATTCTTGCCTGAAATGAATTCGTAGTGCAGAATATTAAAATATGCACATAAGAATTACGTCGGAAAGCAGAGTGTCCAGCAGGAGAGCAAGTTTCTTCTTCTTCCCAGCATCCCTTAAATTTTGTATTTCGAACGACATAACCCCTATCTAATCGTGCGTTGAAATGTAATGCAATGTTGCCTGCCGCCTTACATAATAAATTCACTGAAAACCTATATCGATCATGTTTTATTATATTTGTCTATGCTACAAAATAATGGTATTATATACTATAAATCATAATTGCATAATTTTCAAGGTTAATAAAAATCTTATTCATAAAATATTTTCTACGATAAAAAAATCACCTCAACGCATCAGGAGGAATGTATCCAGTGACCACGATGGCTGACGTTGGTTTCAGAGGTTGCAACGGAATCGGTTCCGAAACATTCTACAATAACGTACATATTATAATTTACATGAGTTAATTGTGCACTCAAAAAGATTAAATAATTTATTTTAAACAAAGATAAGAATAATTATCGCAATACTTCACTAATAAAAATTTCCGCTTTGTTCAGGTACCCAGTATATAGAAAGATAATTTTTCATGATCAATTGGTTATTTAGTACAAATTGTATTGGTTTTTAATAAGTTAATATAATTATATTGATACTTTAATAGGAACGTATAAACTAAGAACTTGATAAAAAGGATAGCATGAAAAACGGGAGAACATAAAATAAGGGTTGGACAACCGTACGTAGAAACTAGTTATCGTCTGGATGCGAATTTTCGACATTAGTCTCGATGAAAATCATTTTCCTACTTATGCAGATATTCGTTTCCATTTTCTTAACATGAAACGTTATTCACAATTTCATACGATCCTAAACAAAATTAAAAAATACGATTGCATATAAAATACTTTTGTGATAAAAACTAAAAGTTGTAGAGTAAACGTATAAACAACATTTAATCTTTTATAAAGATTAATTGAAAAACGTTTTGACTGATGTATAATTAATTCGAAATTTAATGTTATTTGGTTCATTATATTGTATTTACAGTATTTGTAATAAATAAAAGGGTGTGGCCAAAGATATAGGTTAGAAGCCAATACCAAAATTTTCAATCGGTAAATCTGTTTTTCCTTTATCTACGGTTCTTATGATCCAAATATTTATGTATATATTGCCGATTGACACTTACTAACGGCACTGTATCCTCGTCGACAAAAGAGAACTCTCGAAGAGCATTTTCTTTTGTTTGCACGAAAATTTCATTTTGGTTTATAGACATAGCGTACGATGATTTATTGGAACTATGCCTTATCTTAAGCCGCTTTCGTCGTGTGCGCGATAGTTTATTTTATTCGTTTTCGAATGGAAATATGACATTTGGTTGAATTCGAGGCGCGTGTTTAAACAAAATAATGAAGACCATCAAATTTAATAAAGGAAAGCGTTAAAATATTCCCGATACATGTTTTATTTGATTAAGATAAAATAACATAGTCGTTATTTTCAAAATTTCATTTCAAACTATGACAATAAGCATTTTTATATTAGCAGACATTTATACAATATCAAGGTTATTGAATATACGTATAATTAATTGTAATAATATTGTAACGAGTATTTGAAGTTCAAAATAAATACATATATTTTTTGATTTTCACATGTGATTCAGTTACTTAACAATTAACAAATTCAGTATTTTATTCAACTTCGTAGTGAGTATTTACAAGTAGAAAAATACGAATAAAATAGTTTTTGATTCATTAACTATTTTGCGATTAAGCTGTTGCTGTTTCATAGGAGATGTTTATAATTATTTATGAAATATTTTGTCTTTTGTCAGAAGGACATGCATAGGAACCTAGACAGTATTCTTCTGTTGACTTCGTGTCAACTTGTCTCTTCTTTCATAAGTCAGTCAGAAGATATTAATATTTTTTGAGAAATTTTGACCAGTTTATTGTTTTTCTTTCAAATTAAGCGTGAGTAATTTGTAGTTCCTGATTAATAGTAATATTGAATATATGTAAAAGAAATGTTAGCTATTCAATTTGTTTTGCGAAACGTGGAAATAATAAATAAATAATAAATAATATTTATTTTTGTTGTGTTTGCATTTTAATCATTGCAACTTTATTAGGTTATTAATTTGTTGATAAAATTACTCACACTCGTTCGACGAAAATATTTACTATCTGTTAAAAAAAAATATAAAAAAATTGTTAATAATGTTAAAGTTTACAAACATGTAAATTCACCTGATGAAAAAGATAAGTTAAATTTTAAATGTCTCGAGGTTCATTAGGTGCGGGAAGTCGTTGCCAAGATGGCTCAACACCCCAAATTTCGCGGGCATATTCCGCAATTGTTCTATCCGATGAAAATTTGCCTGAAGAAGCTATGTTATGAATAGCCATTTCTACCCATTTGCTTTCATCCTGAAATAAAAAATTAACAAATAAAATAACAAAATAAATGACGAAATCAATGAAAGAAATAAAGGAGTAGTGTAATTTTTTATTCGTAATAAAAACATACCTGATATACTTTACTGACGTGATTCTGCATTTCTATGTAGCTTTCATAATCAGCGAATAAGTAAAATCGGTCCCAATTTAATAAAACATTGGTAATATCTTTAAATTCATCTGGATTGTTAGGACTGAAGAAACCTCCTTGTATCTGATCAACACACTGTTTTAATTCTGGGATTCTATTATAGTAATCGTATGCATTATATCCTTTCCGTTTTAACTCTTCCACTTCGTCAACGGTCATACCAAAAATAAATATATTTTCTTCACCCATTTCTTCAGCCATTTCTACATTAGCACCATCCAATGTGCCAATTGTTAAGGCTCCGTTTAACTGACATCCGAAATGAAATAGTTATTATCTACTAATAGTGAGAAATTATTTCATCAATTGCTCACCATAAACTTCATGTTTCCTGTACCAGACGCTTCAGTGCCAGCAGTCGAAATTTGTTCGCTCAAATCTGCTGCTGGAATAATTTTCTCGGCTAACGTGACTCGATAATTCTCTAAGAAGATAAATTTCAGCTTGTCACCAACAATAGGATCATTATTAATAACATTTCCTACGCTACAAATTAATTTAATAATTTTCTTTGCTAAGTGATATCCAGGTGCTGCTTTTCCACCGATCATAACTGTTCGAGGAACGAACGGTGCGGATGGATCTTTCTTTATTCTGTTATAAAGTGTTATTACGTGTAGGCAATTCAAAAGTTGTCTCTTGTATTCATGTATTCGTTTCACCTGTTTTATAACGGAATACAAATTTAAAGTTACATACGTACGAAAATACATTTGATATTAGTGTACGTTATCATTTAATTAAAGAAAGAGATAATAACCTGAATATCGAAAATAGAGGCGGGATTTACTTTAACTCCATAATCTTTCTCGAGTAACTGCGTTAATTTCAATTTATTTTCTTGCTTAACTTTTATGATACTACGTTGGAAGACTGGGTCTTTGGCCCATTGTTTCAGTTGTGCAAGCTGTTCCAAATGCACTGTCCAATCGCTGCCAATTTTCTAAAGGTACATAAGAATTTGATATCAAGTTCATTAACGGTCACGTTGTTTTTCCTGTTATACAAAATTACTCACTTCTTCGATAATGTCTGAAAGGTTTGGATTGCACAAGAGGAGCCATCTTCTTGGCGTAATACCATTGGTTTTATTTTGGAATTTCTCGGGTGTTAATTCATAGAAGTCCTTAAAACTGCAACAAAAAGAAAATGAATATTTTTCTCATAATATAAATTGATAACATAAATCGATTTTAATCCCTAAACACCTACACGCCGTTCTTCAATATTTCCGAATGTATCGCCGCTACACCGTTAATAGCATGACTGCCGACAATCGACAGATGTGCCATGTTCACTCTTTTCTCACCATCTTCTTCTATCAAAGACATACGACGAAGGCGATCTATATCTCCTGGGTATTTGGTAGATACATCCTGAAGATGAAGGAAGTTTATATGATAGATGATTTGCAGATGTCGAGGAAGAATGCTTTCCAACAAGCTCGTTGGCCATCTTTCAAGAGCTTCTGGTAGCACTGTGTGATTAGTGTAGGCACAAGTTCTCGTTGTTATATCCCAAGCTTTTTCCCAAGGAAGTCCTTCGACATCGATAAGGATCCTCATGAGTTCAGGAATGGCCAGAGAAGGGTGAGTATCGTTTAACTGAATAGCAACCTTGTCAGGGAACACATCGAAATCTGTCCTATGATGTTCCCTTGAACCAAATTTGCTAGCTTTGTACCTATAGATGAAAAAATGACATGATTACGTATGTTTATATTTTTAAGAAATCGATAACAAACTACATTGTTCTATCACAATCCTAAACGAATAGTTGGCCACCTGCGTATTATGTCTTGAAGAGTTGCTGCCACCATGAAGTATTCTTGCTTCAGACGTAATTCTTTTCCTTCAAAGAAATTGTCATTAGGATACAGAACCCTCGTGATATTCTCGGCTAAGTTGCGATCAATCACAGCTTGAATGTAATCACCGTCATTGACTGAAAGTAATTTTTAATTCGATGAAATTTATTAGTATTTATAAGTGCCTTAAACAATCGATAAAATACTTCGACAAATAAATATTTCTTACAGAATTTTAAATTAAATTCTACAGGTGATTTTGCGGACCACAGTCTGAGAGTATTAACCACGTTGTTTTTATATCCGGGAATCGGATTATCGTAGGGCATTGCGAACACAACCTGTAGAAAGAAAAGCAAGAACAATCATTAAAAAATAACTGAACCGATGAATATAATAAATACGAGCGACATGAAATTACAAACCTGTGTGTTCACCCATTTCTTTCCCTCAGGAGTATCGATAACTTGCCCGTAGAAATTTACCGGGAGCATGAATTCAGGTCTAGCCTTTTCCCATGGATTTCCATAACGCAACCAATCATCTGGCTCCTCTATCTGTTCCCCGTTTTTAATCTTTTGCGCGAATATTCCGTATTCGTACCGAATTCCGTATCCGTAGGCTGCTAAGCCAAGAGTGGCCATACTATCGAGGAAGCAAGCTGCTAATCTTCCTAAACCTCCGTTTCCCAATCCAGCATCTTCCTCGAGTTCTTCGAGTTCTTCGATGTCTAAACCCATCTGTAATAATAACAGGGTATAATCGTTTCTTATAAAAAGGTAATTAGAAAATCTCGTTTGAAACTGACCTGATACATTGCTTCGTCGCAGGCACCTTGAATACCCAAGTTGATCATAGTATTCTGAAGAGTTCTGCCCATGTAATACTCCAAGGAAAGATAATACACCCTCTAAAACAAAATACAGAACTTTGTTTGAAATGGACGTTGATGAAAATATTTTTAAGAAACTTCTTACTTATTGACTACCACATCGAAGATAATACAACCGGAAATAGCATAATGTCATATTAGAAAACATATAAAAATATTATCTCAGATGTACAATACATAGAATTTTTCAATGAACATTGAACCGCAGGAAACACTGAACTATGATTCGGTAAAATAAAAGTGATTGGCCTCGTGTCGTAATTTGTTTCCATAGATTAAGTCTCATTGTGTCTTCTTCGTTTTCGTTACGAAATCGATTAACGTGAGTCACGTAGGATGGTTATTGGTCTATGAATAAAAATAAATTGAGCCCTCATTTTGAAACAGTAGAAGATGAAAGCAGGCTCGATTGAAATTAATCTTTATTGCGGTCGCTGTAGATCGGGCTCGAAAATGTTTTATTCGCTCTTTTTCTCTCTCTCGCGACTTTATGACCGTGTTATTTATAAACGGTGTGAACGACTTCACAAACACTTCATATTATACATTTTAGACGATTAACACGTGTTGACTGGCGCTACGAATTTAATTAAGTCCAATGATTAGAAAAACTGAAAAAAGAAACATTCATAATCTTTGCTAAATCTAAGACTTATATTATCGTGCAAAACTATTTTAATCCTCATAATCAATTTATCTACAAATAGAAGTTACTTATAATTAGTAGACCGAGACATTGAAGATAACGAAGTGAAATGTATGTATGTATATACGTACATGCGTTATCGGTAGTTCCTAAATACCGAGACGATTGAAATAGCTACCACCCTCTTGCGTGTTAAATATCGATCGATCAGGCGTTTCTTTTTTTTTCTTATGTTTTTATTATTCGAACCAAGTCCTCAAGCTTATTGAAGAGAAAACTAAATTGTGATTTCGCAACTATTTTCGAAATAATTCATGAAAGACTTCGAACGTAAACATCCAAAAATGCTTTTAAAATAACGTGGGACTTGATCCAAAAACACACGCAACGAAGAACGTGCTAAACGTGACTTTTATTACTCGCGTTTGAATTTCATAATTTTTGTAAAAATGTATCATACACAACAGTTATTTACGACGTTTCATTTCTTAAAATATTTATCGCGTCTCGTATTTATTTTTGTTTCTAGTTATCTTTATTGGGCGTACAAAGTGTGTTACAAGACCATTAACTTTTTTTGCACGAAATTTTATCAAATGGGAAACTACTACTGCAATTTCTAAACGAAATTCTAGCAAGGTATTTGTGTTTCCTATACTTTATCTATCTTATTCCTGTCCTGCCTACAACAACAGCTATACGGAGATTGCTTCCTCGTTCTATCTCGCTCTTTTACGATCTTAGCCGTTGATCTGGTCACCCTCCTGTTCATTCAATCTTGATCCTTCCGTCGTATTCCTTTCGAAAATGTCTCTGAGCTTTTCCTTCTTCAGTATCATCCAGATAATGTATTTATTTTCAAAGTATTTAAGGCATTTTGAGGTGTCTCAGGGTGCAGATACATTAAACTTTAGGATATTATTATCCGAGTATTTAAGGCACCGCAGCATCAGACTTGCAGGAAATCTTTAGCATCTTAAAGTTCAGTATTTCAAAATTACTTTTGCTTAAGTATTTAGTAATGTTTACGAGAATTTGTATGCCTTAATTCTCTCGTATGTGGACACTAGTTAACTAGTTAACGTTGAAACGTTTATTTATTGTAACTACCGATCACTTTTTCCAGTTGAACAGAGCCTACAACTATTCTGCTTAATCGCGTCATTCAAACATCGGAATCGCGTAACTTTATAAACATACGATTATTAATAATCTATCGATGAATTGGATCAGTTTCAAAGATTACATTGTTATTGTCATCTTGACATTGCACGGAAAAAAGGCGAAAATCGTTTGGCTCGAGATTTCAGGGTAATTCGATGGTAAGGCCAAACAAAAATAGATGCTGTAAAGTACTGTATCTGTACATGTTGAAGGTTCGTTAAAATATAGCGACTTTGTCGAGTAAGCATTATTGCATACTTATTTGTACAATTCATTTCTGTACGCGCACCGCCAATATTTGGCTTAAAATTATATTTAAGTCGTTTGCAAATTTTAAGTACCGAAAAAGTTAAGCCACTGATCCATCAGACATTGTAGAAATCTCGTTATCTAATAAACGAGGCAATACGCAAACGAAAAATCGGTATTCTTATTTAAGTGGAAGACGTCCATTTATTATGCGATATTATCCAATAATTTCAACGAGATTATTTATAACCAGTGTGTAGAAATACATATATATATATTCTCCACGTTTGTAGAGATATACATTTGATATATAGACGTTAATCATTTACGAATGTTGCGTTTATGTTATTTAGCTTAAAGCGATATAACTTTCTATGCATTGTACAATCAGATATTACACTAATGATTAAATAATTATGGGAAGTATACTTACCGGCAGTTGTTAAAGGGGTATTTCATACAATGTAAATACAACATTTATTTGATAATATATTATAGCATGCAAAGATAATTAAATAATCTCCATAGGTGATTGACATGTACGGGTACATAGAGTTATAGAATCTTACCTTAGGGTCCTTTTCGTAATAATATTGCTGAGTACGTATCCATCTCGAAACCAAATTGTCCTTGACGCTGTGTGCCAAGGCGAAGAAATAATCCCTACTTGTAGCTACATTACGATCTTTTACTAAAGTATAATGCAAATGTCTATTGAACGTTTTCTTAAAATTTGCTACATTTTCTACATCGACAATTCCACGCACTGAAATTTGTTTTCTTTTCTCGTGATCTGTTTCTGACGCTGACATTTCTTTACGTTTTCCTCTCTTTTATCAGTTATTAATTGAAATCTGTAATATCTACAATTTATAATTTCGAGCGTATTTGACACAGAATCAAATTTGTATCCAAACACTTCAAATGTAATTCAGCTTTTTTCTGTTTGACGTTATAATATTATTTGTATGTGAAATTTTGATAGAATTCGTTATTGTACACAAATATTGGATGAAATTTTCGACGTACTACTCAGAAGCAGCAATACTTTTCGAATAAAATGCAATATTTCTGTTACCGATTCTAAGTATTGTTGGGCACAATGACCGGGTTTCGCGACACATGCACCAACACCTATTCCACTAACGTTCCGCACGCGTATACTACCCAGAGATGAATAACAATTGTACTGCTGGCAGTCTCTGAAGCGGTCACCTTACATCAAGGTCGCGCAAGCGCACTAAACTATGGTGATCACGTGATCAGAATCGATAATATCGATCGAGTTATTGAACTATTTGGACATAGTATCGCTCTGCGTGGTTAGATGGCGCTGCATGCATCATTTTTTAAGCATTCCATAAGTTGACTCGATAAAGTATAGATTTTTAAATCGAATAGGACGACAATGAGAAAAGAGAATTTTACAATTAAGTGTTTTATTTCGTATAATTTATTTATAAATTAATCGTGCGGATGCAGATGCAATAATGAAAACGTCAATAAGCGATACGCGTATTACAATTCGCATTCTGAAAAAGATTTTTCTTCCATTTTTATCCAACTTCTCTGACGATTCTTGTCGTATCATAGTCGTCTCTTTCTGGACGCTACATTTTAAAGTAAAAAACGACATGGTACTCGATAAAATGTCGTTAAGATACAGCCATAAACTGTGCTGTTGCGAACAATTGCGTGAACGAATGAATTTAAAAACATTCAGTTTTCGAAATATTTGAAGTTATACAGAGTGTGTTCTAGAACATGTGGCACAATACGTATATTTCCAAATAAAAAAAGATGTTCGACGGATCGTAAAATTCTAAAGGATTCGTGTCTCTGTATTAAAAATTCAGAAACTGAAAGTTTCTAAATTCATTAGCTTTTTAATGTGTATATACGCATGTATATGTATGTTAAACGAATTAACGACATTAAACGGTTTTTAAATCTCTCACGGAATTTCAGTACCAACATCGATTTTACTTGAAACGATATTATTATAATAAAAACTCGCAATTCAGCCAACAACTTTCCATCATAATGATTTAACCATATAGTTACACTTAGTAATGTGATAGCGATAATTGTATTGATCGAAGAAAAAATTCTTCGAATACGCCGAAGAAAAAACAAACGGCGCTGTATCTTATTCTCACGTATTCATATACACACACATACACTCGTAGCCGTTTTCTTTCTTACTGTCTTTAAAGAGTTATGATCAATGAATAGAAATCGATTGATATGCGGATCCATCAATGAACGTAATTAGCGGTGTGATTTTCAAAAACTTTCTTTTACCGACTTATCCGCTAAAGTTTTATTAGTTCTGAAAAGAAAAAAGATTTTCTAGAAAACTTTGTAAAGGAAAAATCGATCGTTCGTAAAAAGAAAAAAAAAACAGATTAGAATATTCTTTGTTGTAATAAACAAGAGACGAAGCAAATTGTTCATTCAACAGATTATTTGTGAATTTTATTAATTGATCACTAGTCAAGCTTTAAAGCGATAAAAATTACTTTATTTTGGAAAAATAACTTTTAGATTCAATACAAATTAATTAATTCTTAATTAACCTCGAATATACGATATAATTAAAAATTTATTATTTGTAAATTTATGTGTAAACTTTATAGAAATCTTAGATGTATTAAAAATCAATTGATTTTTAATTAAATAGTACTACGTACACGCTAATGTTTAATGTTACTTTAAAAAATGATAATTCAAGAGTTGCAACACTTACAACATTTGCAACGTTGTTAACAATCGATAACAAAGTCTTTCAAATTCTAACACTTTCATGCCCTTTCTCGCACGCATACGTACATGCACATCCAGCACACTCTCCCTTTTCATACAAAATAAATATATTAAGGCAATCAATATGTTCCAATTGAAAATTGATTATTTTGTATATTCGATTACGATTATAAACAATTATCCTTCCTCCTGCGCAATTTTGTGAAACATCATTAGCAAAAAAGCGAGAAATTCCTTTATCCAAGCAACCGATAAAACATTATAATCTTCCAATTAAATCCTATTTGATACAATAAATTACGTGTCTTTTTTATAAAGAATAATTCTCTACAAAATATAATATAAAACAATGATATACATATATATATATATATTTTTTTTTAAATTGTAACGTTTTTTATATCATTTTTTAAACAGACGACAAATATAGCATACACATATGTATATTCGATGATACATAAAAAATATTAGTAACAGAATTCACATATTATTGTTATAAAGAAAATCTTTTATCTCTACATTTGAGAAAGAAAAAAATTTGTTCGTAGAATAGAAAATGGTTCTACGCCAATTTTTTAAAAAGTAGATATACTTAGCATATTGTTAAACTATAAAATAAAATTATAAAATCGATCCAAAATAATATATTGCATCAAGAAAATAGAATTTTCATATTATTTGTTGAACCCTCGTATGTTTTGCGATTGTGTACTGAAATCAAATCAATTTCGATTTTTCCTATAAATTAAAAATATATAAGCAATTACGAAAACGTATAAATGAAAAGTGAAAAACTTGAAAAAGAACACTTAATTCAATATACAGATAATAAGGAAATTAATTTTCCTAACATAACATTCGCTATCGTTATTTAATTTTAAAAGGGAAATCTCTGTCCATTACTGATTAAATCATAGATACTGTTTTACATATAAAATCAAAGATTTTGTTCGTTGAAAAAAGAATAATCAGTTTTATGCCGTGAAAATTACCTTTCGTTATCTCTCTGCCAAAGCAGCATCGCTAAAAGACATTGGAATTAAGAAACTTTTGAAAAATGAACGACGATCGATTTTAATGGAGCCGCATACCATTCGTCATTCGAAGAAGAATATCAGTATGGATTGTTGTGGGAGAGTGTGAGGAAAAATAACAAAAAAGGGGAAGAAAAACAGGAGGAAACCCCTAAGAAACACACGCATTGCACCATTCGTGATTTTGTAGCAGAGTACAATAAAGAACTCTGTCTTTTCTCGTGTCGCAACGAATTAACATAATCGCTACATGTTACTTCTTTTCGTTTATTTCCATCAACAGGGACATCGTGCAGTTCCAAAAAAGGAAAACTCGCGTTACGTCGTCGTCGGACAATGAAATCCAGCTGCCCACGACTAAACCATCAGAAGACCGTTGTTTGTATTTTTTCTTTTTTTTTTACTAAACTTTACGTTCTTTTCGTTGTCCTTCCGACCATCTTTTAACATTTCTATTTCTGTTCATACTTATATCTTCTTTCTCACTCTTTCAGAAATTCTTTTTAAGGATTCTATTATTACCTTCAGTTTCTTATATATATTTTGAATACTTTCTCGTTACAATTCTTCGTAAGCCATGCTTTTCTATTGATGCTACTTTTATTAATTTTTTTTTTTCAATTCGTATTCGATAATTCCATAATTTAAAAAAATTTATTAGTTTAAACCTTAACACACTAACCAACTTTTGCTTGCAATCTTTATCTTTCGCAGTATGCTATTTTTTCCTATATTTTCTCTGTTATTAGTGATTTCTTTTTGTTACGATTTACTTTCCTCGATTGTTCGATATTTTTTCGTAAACATTCTCCCTCGCAGTTTTCCACTGAACTATACGTGTACGTATGTGTGTGTGTGTGTTCTTTCTTTGCTTTTTAAATAAATATCTCATCTCTTCAGTTTGTTTACAGCACTGTTCTTCATTTCATTCCTGCGTGGATTCTCCAGTTGCCCGACAAACTCGCTTAGATTTCTTTTGCCCCCGCGTGGTGGTATGTTTTCGTACTTTATTCTTCCTTTATTGGTTCTTTCTTACCAAGCGGTATTGCAGCTTTCACTCTGAAACAGTATTTAAGTAAGTGAATTTTTGAAACGATAATTCTCCAATTTCAACAATAAATTATTTTGATCTGTATATTTTACAAAAGTATGCATCTGTCATTTAAATTGAAACAATTTTACAACGAACATATAAAACGCGAGACTTATATTATTTCAGTAGACTTTGCATCGTGATGAACACCTATGACCAACGCCATAATTGTCCATTCCATCGGGGGGAACATCAGTTGTACATACTCTATACGCATGCTTTAGTACGAGGGCACATTAATACTTTATGGAATAAATGAGCGAGCACAGAGAAGACACATGTTACTACCATAGTGGTATATTACAAAGCTCAATGCGTAGATTATACTTGAATAATAATATCTGTATATTAACAAAGGCGATAAATACTGTCGAAATATTAACAGGCGCATTTATTAAACATTCATAAATGCTACTGAATCAATCTATAAGAATTTTTTGTTCTTTTTTCTTTTAATCGAATTTCATATTAACTGTACTTACTTAGCGGTAAGCTCATTGATCTTGCCATGCACCAAGGCCAAATTTTGATCGATTTGTGCCTTATTTGTTTCGTAAACCTTCGGTAGTGTGAACAAGGCAATTACTCCTGTAACGAGATAAACAAAATCGATTCAGTCAACGATCTATTGTATATATAATATTACAAAGTTCTCTTAGACATCGCTAAGATTATCGTCAAAGCTGAATAAACACTGAAGAACTGTAGGTACTTTGGTATTGTTCAACGAGCACAATGAATTCATAATACATTTTGGTAAGAAGGCAAACATACGATCAAATCGTAAATTGAAATCCTCTTGACGATAAATACTGTTTGTAGTGATATTATTTACCGATTATGATCAAAGTCATGCCATTGAACCAAGATCCCACGTAAGTGAGGCACCAAAGAAGAACACCAAATTTCAAGGAATCGACAAAGTCCTCTACAAGGAAGAGCCTACGTAGTTCGCTGATAGCTGCATTTGCATGTGCAACGGCTACGACCGCGACTTCGTGCACCTTCTCCGCGGACAACGTCAAGTCAAGTTCCAGAATGTCTCTGAAATTAGAATATGTCTACGTTTTTAGTAATTCAAGTTTATTCGATGGGTGTTTCCTCGATTGAACTATGAGTATATTTACTTGAAAGGATGTCCGTCAGAGGTCTTCTGGAGAGCTTGTAGGACGGTCTTGTAGATCCTGAAGGCAATGGTGCCGGTGAGGACGAGAAGAGACAGATAAGCAAGAACGCTTATCAGACTGAAATAGGCCAGCGAGAGGAGCACGCCAAGTATACATCCAAAAACGGCTCCCGATTTCTTTGGATCGCGCCAGTAAATTAAAGCTGCCACTAAAACAGAAATAACAACGAATTATTTACTTTGTACACATCGATCGATGCATTCTTACTACGCAATTTGCCGTAGGTAGTAGCTGCGTGTTCGTGTATTGATCGATGAAAAGTCATTCACGATCATCGGTTCGGTATGCATATACAGGTTGGCCCTCTTAAAATTTATATAAAGTGAATTTTTTTCATGAACGACACTTAAGGTGGAAATGGAGTGTTGGGTGTAAAATCTTTGGATAAGTTAAGGATTAAGCATGCTTCTTGGACGATAAAAGCTTCGTAATACTTTTTCATGATTATTGAGACAAGTTCATAATCATATTACTTAACGATCGTGTTCGCATTAATTCCGGAACACTAGAGTTTTATCGAGTATTGTCATAGCCTGAAGAACGAAAACCCTAATCGCGCTAGAGAAACAGGTTTAACGCGAATACTTGAGTAGGACCACGTGTTCGAACCATATGTTACTCGGCCGAATCTTTCACCGAAAGATAAAAGAAAAGAAACCGGCATCAACTCACCGGGACTTTCATCGAGGAGATCTTCCAAGGGGGTTCTTAACTTATTGCTTCGTGCCATTCTTGCGAACTGACTACGCTAACCTGGAAAATGACAGCTCGAGAACGTACAACGAAAGTATCGGAAGAAACTGCCACATGTAGCTATCTCGTGATACTACGCTGATACGTGTACAGAAGATAATCCACGAAGTGGGAGAAGAAACAGGAACAGCTAACTGGTAGAAAGGGAACCGCGAAGCCGGTGGAACAACCGGGAACATAAATGACAAATTGAAAAGACTAAAAAAAGAACTGTGCACACCGTTTTATTTATCCGCTTGTAGTAAACGAAACACACGAATAATTCGGGTGAATTAACGGTATCGTAACTGCATCGATAATAAGTCACATTATAATAACAATTATTAATTGTTATACTTATAATATCTTCCTTTTTCTGAAGGGCATCGAAGCTAATCATTATCGATGATATTAATGTTCCTTTCATGATGCACGGTGTTAGTAGTCGATTTCTAACATGTTAATTAAGAGAGATATCCGAGTAATTGAAGATTTGACGGATAAGTGTCCGTGTAATCGAGACAATGCGAGGTAATTAAATATCAGAACGGTGATTAATGGACGGTGGCTGATGTATCAGCCGCGAGGTTATCCTAATAATAGAAAAGTTGGTAGATCCTCGAATTTTGTATTAGCTTCGGCTTTGTCTCTAATCCAAAAAGGACGCTCTATTAAATTGTTCCCAAGGCCTGTCGTGACTTTGCTATTCGAGCGATTCTGCCAAACGAATGTATGTCATTCTCTCTCGCGATTACTGATCGAACATCTTTCGTTAAAATTCGTTAGGTTGTTCTAGATGGAGACTCGTTTCACTCGTTTTAAATAAAAGTAAATTCGAGTCTGAACGTAGTCCGAATAATCTTGAAATGTTCGAGAGGTAGTATTTTAAAATGTTTGAATATAAAGAGAAATAAAAATCATTAACGAACACAAGATTTGGAGAATCCAAGATCATAAGAAACGGCCGTTCCTTTAAGAAACATCGTTCGAGTATCGCGTATCGAAAGAAGAAGATAGAGGGAATGCTGGGGTGCGGTTTGGCGGTGGAAAATCAATAAGTTGTCGTCCGGTGGTACGACGCCCGGCGTCGCAGTGTCGGCCGTTGCCTCGACGTCCCTTATTGTTCACAGAAATACACCTGCCAATGTATTCTATCCTCGTCGACGATTCACCCTCTGTTACTACAACCCCCTGCTACACTAAATTATACACTAGGGTTCGAATTTCAAATAATAGCTTTTTTTTCTCATAAGCTTACGTCACGTACATTTCCTTTATTATTCATAAATCAAGACTGGCAGCGTTTTTAGCGGCTTTTCGTTCACGGGTTGCCTATTCTCTACTAGCAAGCATATTAGTGAAAAAAGAAACGTATGTAACGTGACATAACGTTCATATGTCTCATAAAATTCTAGGAAAAAATTTTTTTAGGAAAAATATGAAAATCCAAAGAATCTTGATTTCTGAGAATCATCCGGGGAATTCATCTCGTTTGTATCGTCTATTAATACTTTCGCAGTTTCTCAATCGAATTCGTCAAGTGCTCTACTACCGTTCAAAAGAGAATTGCTGTTTCAGCTTCCAGTCGGGTCGTCGCATTGCGGTGTTATACAACGTTCCGGTTACCGCCAAGTACCACCAAGCATCTCTGATCATCGAATTTTTATTACGATTTATTTTTTTCTAGTTCACAGAACTCACGATCGATTGTTACGGACGGAAAGTTGGGCCATGTCCAAACTAAAAGTAAAATGTTCCCAAGCAAACAATACAAAGTGCCTCGGCTTTAATTCTGTCCCATCGACGACAAAATGAAGAATATTTTTTTTGTGCGACAGACAAGTCGTCGACCAGTTTCTATCTTTCTGACAACTTTCATTGAAATCAGTGACTCCAAGTTACGATTCTCTTGCAATACAATAAACTTCACAGCATGCTTTTCTCTCTTTTTTGAATCGATCAAAATTTTTCCATCATTAAGAAGGGTATCTCGATTCAAACTCGAGACAATCGAAACGATGAAGTTTTCCAAAAAAAATCCACTCCCACCCTGTTTGATTAGTCTGATGTAACGCGTCTGCGCGTTTTGCCACCTTTTACTGGCACCCTGTCAACGCCCGGCACTGTCGTTTCTCCGCTTCCGAATAACCCTTGCACATCTTCCTCGTCTACTCACGTTCTTCCTTCTTGATGGCCATGTTCCTTCCTCCTACTCTGGTTCCACTTTCGTTTCTTCCTCCCTCTTGGATTCGAGGGAAGATCGAAGAAGAACGTAAAAACGCGACAAGATCGAACAGAGATACGGCACTCGGGGTAGAGATTGACTGCGGACGAAGCACTCGGGGATAAGCGAGAGTTCTCTTTGAGGATAGCTTGGCAGAGGACCAAACTTGAACAGGCTGGATACTATATTTAACCGCCAACCAGCCGCCAATCGTCTCCGGCTTTTTTGGATTCTACCGCCAACGAATTTTGACTAGTTCGAATTGGAACCGTGCAATTTCGATCAATTTCGGAATAATTGACCAACGTACATATTGCGTACACTTTGCTTTTTCGATGGAATCGACGACTGCGTTCTACGGCCTTACTAATATATACGATCATTTACACGAGTTAACATGACCACAAAAAGCGAAGCAAAATGTCGCAACTTGATTATTGATTACTTTTTTCGCGTCTACAAGCACTTGCTATGCGCACACTTTGTCACTCTAAGCGCTTATCAAGTGTTATTGCTTACGAAAAATGTGTGCCACACGCACTTTTTAGAGATCGATCAATTTTTCGCTTTCAAAAATCGTTAAACGTATAGATCTGACTCATTCCGGACAAGAACCTCGATTACGTACGTGTCTACTGTAATATGCGCCGCAAGTGTGTCTCGATATTATGAATGTACGGATTAAGAAGGATTGAGAAACAAGACAAATATACTAATTACTAAATCATACGATTGTTTATTCATGCGAATGGCATTGTCCATTATCGTTAGGAAGTCAACTGGACGTAGACGCGCGAAAGAGAGCTTATACATATAAATGTATAACTGAAGAAGCGGTTCCAAACTCGGTAGACAGCGTGGTTATGCAACGACTATATTACAATCGACACTGTAAATGATCGTATTACCAAGTCGGAACGCACAACTAATGCCAGAGGAGAATATAAAAATCGTTTGGTGAGTCATCGGATTCGATTCGATCAATTTTAGCCTGCCGGCTGATAAAAAAACGTTCTTTCGAATACAATTTACAGTTAGAAATTCATCGTTAACCGTTTCTTGAAGGCGTTGCATAGGATTAACTTTGATTACTTTGAATATAAATAGGGTGACAGTTTCGAGTCACTTCCAGTTCTCGTATGGAAAATTCTTTGGTATTGGAATACAAACGAAACTCACGGTTCATCTAAAACTGCTCAGAGACTATGTTGAATTAGGAAGAACAAAGCATCGAATGCGCTCAGAAATGAAGTCATTAGTGATATGTCGCGTTAAACGGATACATTGGTAGACCTTAAACCGGTATACGACGTCGAAGAAATCTCGTACGGTAATTTCCATCGTGGAACAGCGTCCTCGTAAGGCTTGTAACGCGTGGATTCGTCGTTTTCAAGATAAAATTAGCTTGAAAAACGTCGTCCGATACGTTTAACGTTCGACTCGAGAAAAGGATTAAGCTGCTGGCCATCGAAGAGCCCCTTGGCAACCGATTTTTAAAGCGGAATTATCAGAGAGAAAGCGATGACGAGTCAATACGTTGTAGTGAAATACGTACATATAACAACAGACACGTAATCTCTCATGGGAATTTGCTCAGCCGGTTCAAAGATCGTTCGAGAATCAAAAGAGTGACGCTGTGCAACTGTACATTAGCATCCAGAACGTATGTACATAATATTTCCATTTACTCTTTTTCAACACGAAAAAAGAACTTGTCTCAACAGCGTCGTAAACGACGAATATTTTATTTAACACGTTGACGATCTTCTACTTCGTGACAACTATGATTTGTCATTTCGCATGTTTTTTGTATGCAGATAGAATACGGTTAAATTACCTATTGTGCGCTGTTACAAGAATGTAACAATCATTACACGGAAGATTATGTACTCGACTATTGCGATAAAATGGCAACGAGTATAACGAGTGGCCATCGATCGTCAAAGTGTTAATACAGATTCACTTGAATTATACACATATGTGTATAATGTTTTCCGATATAATCAGACATTTTTTTTAATTTTATATTTAGTGGATCATCCTGTATACGATGAATAGCGTACTGTGTGTCGTCTTAATTTACGCCAACGTTTATACAAGATAAAAATGATTATTTTATGCAAAACAAAAATAACACATATAAGCCTGAGAAGATAGATTACATCGACGTCGAGATTTTTCTCTTACCTTTTGGATTCAGTCTATCGGGGTTAAACCATGCGTCTGTAAACAACAGAATCGAAATATGTTAGTTTCTCATCGTCCGCAATTAAAGTTTACTTCTACTCTACGATGATTCGTGCCATGAATAAATGACGTAAGAGAAAAAAAAATGGTTTGCGGGTAACCGAATGGTAATTTGTCGACGTCGAATGACAATGACGATGATCTTTTCGTTTGTCAGTCAGAAACTTACATTGGATATAAAGTTATAAACATTATCATTGCAGCGTTACGAAATTAATCGTTAAAATAGTATATTACAGAAGTAACTAATAACTATTACGCTTGAAATATAAAAAAACATATGGATCAGCCAATACGTAATACCTAACCAAGACCAAACCGCAAAAAAAAGGTTCGGAAACCGCACACTGCGCTATAATTTTGATATTTGTTCGAGGAAAGTTTGCGCGTTCGCCGACTCTTTCGACGGTGGATCCGGTTTAGAATTATGTCCAAATAATTTCGATGATTTTACGAAACTAAGAAAAATAATATAAACTTGAAATGGTAATCGATTGGCAACAACCGGTGTAATTAGCACACACGCCGTAATGTATTATGCAATCGATGACCTCGAATTTCTATCTCTACATCGTCGTGTACGTTGAACAGACTATTTGTCTAAAAATCTGCAGAAGCGTCTTTTCTTCGTTAACTTCGATAAAAATACAATTCGACACGAGTCGATTCATTATCGCTATACAGTCGGACCGACTTATCCTATTTTCCCTGAAATCTGCCGGTTCTTTCTATAGTTTTTATGATCGCAGAAACACGAAAATTAATTCGATATCATCCGCGCTTATTCGAAATGAACATTTTGTAACTCGTATGCTGTTATCTAAACGATAATCGATGAAAAACATGCTCGAAAACATGGATTATATCTTATATCATGCATGTAGGAATAGCAGACGCGAACTGCTACTTTCTTACGTAACTTCTGCTAATTAATTATTATTGATATTTTGCTTCCAATCAATTGGATACTTGTTTTGCTAAATTATTTCGAGTTTGCGTGCGATTACGATAAAGAAGTTGCACGAGGGTGATCTTTGATCTGTACTTGATACAGCAGAAATTCAACTTGACGACATAAATTAATTGTCAAGCGTTAATCACCGTTTAAAAAAAAAATTATATTAGCTTCTCGATTATATTTATACTTGATAACTGAACATCTTATTCTGGACATTTGAAATGTCTGGTTCATGAGTGATACATCATTTTTTGGTTAATACAGACAGATTATCCGAGTTACATTTGAAGACGTGACGATGCGATTTGTACAGAAGAATTCGATGATAATTTGAAGATAACCTATCTATTTCGATAAGCTCCCTATCCGCGCGTATAATTCAAAGATCATATAGATTTAAGATTTAATTTGTTAACACATTTCGTTGAAAAGGAAAGAGGATGTTTGCTCTTCCTTTATAAAAAAAATCACTGTTTTAATGTTCAGTATGCAATATATTTATAAAAACCGATAGTCGCCGATCAATAACCCACTTAGAAATCGCGTTTCTACTGCGCATGTCAGACAGTCGGTGCACCCAGGGATATAAAATTCTCTATTTCTCCTCTTCATTTTCCTTTTCCTATTTTCTATTTACCGTAAACGGTCCATTATCCCTACAGTATCGAAGGAGTACAGTTTTTTTAAATCCGTAGTAATATTAAATATGTTATCGATGTTTAACTACAAATATAAGAAAGGTACAAGTTCCAGTCACGGTGACGGAAAAATTTCAGAAATTTATTTCTTTTTTATCTGTTTGTTTTTTTAGAAATATTTCTTAATTAAGCATATTTTTAGCATAGATAAGTGGCAAGTAACTGACATATTAAGATAAAATACGAGATACTGGTACTGTTCTTCAACATATATAGAGAATTTTGAATTCGTAAAAATAGAAATGAATTCAATTAATGATTTCGTTTAACAGAAGTTATGTGACATAATGATATGGAGTGATTGAAGGCAGTATCAGACATGTCTTGAAAGATTAAACCGTTAACATTTATTTAAAAATCAATTGATATCCAATATTCTTTATTTATGAAAAAACAATTTCAAATAAGTTATTGCATGACTGATATAATGATAATGATAACGTATTTCTTTAAAACATGCCAAGGTGACACTAATCCGATTTTAAAAGTAACATTAATATACGTATTTGACAGAAAGTCTTATACTCTGAAATAGGAACCCGATATCCGAGTGTTATGACCCTGGAAATTTGCTGATATACTATAACTGTTCACAATGATCTTCGTTATAACTGACCAACGTTAAGATGTACGAGAATCTTTCTGATAGTTCTTTGAAACATTTGAAAATTTTTGCTTTTTAGATCAACGTCGTTTTATTATTTCTAAGAAAAAAAAAATAGTAATAATAATACGAACGTTAATGTTAAGCTTTTTACTGCAATCTTATCTTTTTAGCGCGCAGTAATTCATGACACAAACGATATACGTTTTAAAATAAATGAAAGATTAATTTTTCTATTAAAATAAAAATTCTTTCGACTTGATCAAGCAACGTTTTAGTCGGTACAATGTCATAGAGAACCTATCAATGATTCGTCGCGTTTATTTTCTATACATGCGAGCGTTTTAATAAAAGTAATATCGACTTTATTAATTGAACAAAGCGCTCCTTTCGTAAACGCCCCACTAATCGAGAAGTACAACTAGGCTCCCTACATGAAACCCGTGCATGACATGTCTTATGCTCCGAACACCATCGAGTATGTGCGTTACGTCGAACGAAGGAATAGTAAATAAATACACGTACACGGATCAAGAATATTCCAGAAGCAAGGACTGCCATTAGCTACACTGGAACATGGCTTCTTGCAAACCGCACCAGCGTCGTCTTTTTCTTTGGCAGGAAAATTCATAGGACACACCGGCTCCGTTTCCATCTTCACCTAACCTTGCGTCTCGATCGAGTCAAAGACGTATCGCATTCGAACACTACCTCGATAATCCGAACTAACAGCGCAATCGACGCACTTTTCGACACAAACTTCTTTCTTCCTAATTTCTTCACCTTTTCTTCTCTTGTCACTGACTTATTTGCATTCAAACGCTTCCTCGATCGTACGTTCGCCTGTCGATGTATACCAAAAAATTTTAAAACTGGCGTTAAAAAAAAGACTTCGTGTAATTTAAATTGCGAACCTCTTCAACAACACTCTTCCCCTCGAAGCTAGAACAGGACTGACGACTATTATCGACCCGTAGACAGTTCCAGATATCCCCACCACTTCCACGTTGTATAGGAAATGATAGGGCTTCTGACCAAGCGCAACTAGTTACTTTAAGCGAGAATAGATGGCGCATAGTACGGCGACAAAGTACAATGAGTTCCTGTAAAACCCGTTAGATGGCGCGAATAATAAATATCGCTACTGTCAACATGAAATTGAGAAACGTACTCTGTGCGAAATTTTGTCAATAAAATACTACGTATACTATATATAACATTTTACTATTTTAACATTTTTCAAAAATATTTCTCCACCCAAAGCTCTAATAATAAAGATGTTCTCTATTGAACGAGAGCTATGTGGAGCAAATAAACCAGGTCTTAGAGTTCACGAAGCCTGACGCTCTAAATGAAATGATATTATTAAAAACATTTAATTGGAAACGCGTAACTTTACTTTCTTTACTTCATGCACCACTTAGAAATTGCAGAGATCATTTCCAAGAAACAGTAAAAGCAAACGAAAGTAATATTTGTGATATTACTGGAAGTAATATTTGTGTTTTATTTGTTATAGAATTTAATGATAACTCTATTATGATTACTTTATTTCGAATATGTAAAAGAATTTGAAAGAAACAATGTGACCTGTTGTGTGCGACGGTCGAAAATACGTGGTGAGTCAGAGGCGAAATTTTTCGTTCTGAAACAACGTATAAAAATATCTCACCGAAGAATGAAAATTGTACTTCGAAAGCAGGGTACTGGGAAAAACATATTTCAGATAACGCTTTAGTTTCTTCGAACAATCAAAAGAGATTAACTCCTGGTGTATGTATCATGTGGTATATGTTCGCGATAAAAGTATACTTCATAATGAAAGTAGATCGAGCCAAATTCTAATGCAAGATTCTATGGCGTAGTTATCCCATGGGCTGGATCTTCTCATTGGTTCAACCGAAGGACGTCATGAGGTAGCCCGTGGATCAATATAGAAAGAGGAAACGGGTGTTTTCGATTTACGGTGGAAACCATACGCAAAATGTGTATGTCCCCTACTTTATGGTGCAACATGATGTAACCTCACGCAATTCGCAATTCCATCGATCGAAGGTTTCTTGCGTCTTATTTCGTTTTTCCTCGAATAATCATTAGACACCAACGTGAAAACGATCTACAAATTTCGATGTAGTTGCTCTAAATTAAGAATCGTGGAAAAAACTAAAAATATGCCTACATAATATCCGCACAAGGATCAGTATCTCGCGCATTGTTACGCGATGACGCATAAGTTTACTCAGCCACACGTTTAGAAATCGGTAATTCGTAATTAAAGTACTGAATTATTTTAAAGAAATTTATAATATATATTAGTAATCGCTGACGTTCACAAATAATACGGTACCTCAAGGTACTAACATACGATGATACCCCCTTAATGAGACTAACTTAATATGAATCATAAATATGTACACAGAATTACGAACGCAAAATTCTTCTCTACCGTTATTCATCGTATAATCGCAAACAAATAACGGTATAACGATACTATTTTCTGTGAGAACAATGAGTTACACCGTATTATGATAACGGAACATTGATTTTAAATTATGTAATTGGACACAATTAAAATATAATACTCATTGCGGCTCGTATCTCGACATCCTTATATTTAACGCGAAACAAGCATTGACAACGTTATCGCAAAATATATGCAGTTATTATCGCGAATCACAATTTTAAAACGTACATAATTTTGTCTGCGTAATCGAGCATGTATTTTATGGCTTAAAATGTACAAGTGTTTGTTCAGTCTTCCCAATGACAAAATATACATATAGAACAGAAACGATGTTTCGTGAAACATACGTATCTTTCGCGGATCAGATTCTTATTGAATTAGTAAGGGAATAAAAAATCATCTTAAAAAGGAGTGTGACGTGTCTGGAATAAATAATCGCATCGTTACGGCTCAGAAAAGCAATGACGTTGTAGCCAAGCGGAAGCGTGGCTCACTTCGTACAAAGATGCTAAATTACTTAATGCCTCGTAAGCATATACCGATCGTTTCTGCTTTCAAGACTTTGGAGGTTGGTAATCGAAATGTTCGAATAAATATTTTTAATATGTATCGAAATAAACCGATATTACTAATTCGAATCGTAGCGGCATCGATCGAATTGAAGGAAAACTGCCGTACCGAGCATTCGCGTTATCTTCGACGACTCTTTAGTATTTTTTATTTTTAACTTATTCGCAGATTTTCTAACCTAGTAGAAACCTTTAGATCTAATCATCGAGACGTGACGTCGCATCTTTAAAAATATGTATATCTATATATATGTATATATAAATAAATGTTTGCATGCACTCACCGATTCCCATGCTGCTAAAAATCTCTTTTGGCGCGATTTCTACTTCTTCTATTCTTTCTGTTTTTACGTCTTGTTTGACCGATCTGAAACTTTTCGCCGGTGATGCTTCTGGTTCTGATTCAAATTCAGATTCCTTGGTCTCTGGTACACCGATTCGTTCTTTTTTTCCTGTTTCAGCAAGCACATATTCACTCACACTTTTTTCTTTTTTCTGTTCCTTTGAAATAGGTTCTAAAATAGGTTGAGATTTTTCAACGGTGTTCCATACATCATCCGCTTTTTTCTCCAAAGACGAAACAACTGCCGGTCCCTGATCTACGATTTTATTATCCTTAACCTCTACGTTCTCTACGGTTTTCGGTTTTTCCTCTTCCTTTTTACTAATCGATTCAACGTTCATAACTTCTGATTGATCTTCTATTTTACCCGTCAACAAATCATGTTCTGGTTCCTTTGATCTAACCTCCAAGTTACTTTCTACGGTCGGTTTACCTTTTTCAGATTCTAACAGAAGTAGCGTTGATTTTCTTGGATCTTCTGGTTCGTTTAATGATTGATTAGGAGAAAAATTAATCATATCCTTTTCTACATTGAGTTCTTGATGTTCATGTACTTTTGTAGTTTGAGGTTCCAGATGACTTGATTGTCCATCCTGTACGTGTTCGAGATGCTCAAAATCGTCCATCGAATCGTGCTCCCTTCTGATTGGTTGTTCCTTTAACTCAGCCATCTTTGCTACACGCGAGGAGACAATTATCCTGTCATAGAATTCAAGTTTCCTTTTGGAACGCTTTTAATATTTTTCTTTTTCTCTTACAACTTCTAAATAAGAATATTACTTTAACTCGTTTTAAAGATGTTCGGACTGTCTAACGATAAAGACAGTCTTCGAAAGATTCTATTCGCAACGATAATGTTAACGTTCCACTTCGTTTTTATCACCTTTTTATTTGAAGTTTTATCAGTATGATTTTTGTTTAACTCGGTAGTTTAATAACTCTTTTGTTCAATACTTCTTATGAATTAAATCACAATATTTTATTTAAACTTTAACAATAAGTTACAGACGTTAAATAAGATAAACCGGTTTAACGTTCACTCTCTGACGGGCAAGCTCGATTCCAAAGCACGTCTGTGACAGAGTATCTCTACACAGGGTGTGCATAGGAGGGTTTCAGCCCCACCATCGCCGTCTGCGCCAGGGATGTACATATAAAGGGTGATTAATCACTTGAATAAATAGTTTTAGAAAGCATATCGCGTAAAGATTACATGTATATTTATTTATAACACCTATTTAAATAAGTTAGCGTTTTTATAATTATAAATAAAAACATGAAAACTATATAATAATTTTTAATCGTAAAGTTGGAACATTTGAAAAATTAGTAAGTACATATTGAACTTTTCTATTTGCTGTTAGGGAAGAAAAATTTTACATGACAAAATTAAAAAGCATCGAAGCTCGAACTTGGTAATTCTCGTTCGTTCCTGAGACTAAACCAATAAAAATTGAGCTTGTTTCTCCCACTGCTTCCCTAGAAAGCTGGAGGGAGATACAGGAGTTAGGACAATGAGTCATGTCAGAAAGTCTACATACATAGGTGTGAATAATGATTTCAGATGTGTCGTGATTAAGTATTACGTTAAGTACATATAGACTATATTAAAAAAGAGTTATTGAAACAATCGAACGATATGATTTATAAAAAACCTTTCTTTGTAAATTAAAAATTTACCAAATTGATCAATTATTATTTTCTCAACATTTTAGTTTGGCAAGTGACTCGTTTTATACTTAATATTTACATTTTCCTGATTAACCAATACCGTTTAATCAAAAACATAAATATAAACAATCGATCTAAATGCGTATACATGTTTCATTTACCATCTATAAGTTGTTGCGGATTTTCGTACATACACACGCGAAAATATATATAGTTATGAACGCGCAAGCGCAGAACAAGTACCCTGTATTAAAATCGCGGTCATATAGCGGTGAATAACAAACTAAACAGTTTCAAGTACACATTCAACAAGTAAATAAACTTTGTTAGTAATTGAAATTTATATACCGGTATAAATACAATAAAGGCTTATTAGAATTTCAGTGCAACACACGAACAGAGGTTCTTTTTTCAGGAAACTATAAAATTGACAGAAATGAATAAAAGTACAAACTGATTTTTATTGTCTTTACCTTTAATGGGTACCTTCGTTCTTGAGAGTTATTAAAAGACGAATTAATTTCAATGTACGAGTTCATTAGTTTAATTATCACTGTTCGTAATTATCCACTAATCGTACGAGTGATCACGCTAATTCATTTTAATAGGCGCATGCGTAAACCCGGGTATCCCTGCGTTTCTCCGTAAATCGCGGTCACAAAATGCGCATGCGTCGCTAATATCACGACGCGTGGCCTGAGCGTCAGTCTTTGCTTGTCCTTCGTAGCGCGTTGACGCGTGTACTCTCTTTTTCCGCTTTCTCTCTCTTTCTCTCTTCGGTCCTACGACGTTTGGTGAAAGATTCGCCCTTCGCAAAATGGCGGCGCAGACTACCACCAGGAGAAGGTTGAATGAACACGAGGAGAAAATGAGCAGTAGAAACGGCTTAACCTCTCACGAAAACATCGTGACTAATGGCCATGCCGGTTTACAAAGCAATGGACGTGTACAGGTTAGATCGTCACTTGTCACGCGTATTAGTTTTGTTTAAAAGTTCTATTACTTGTGAAAGATTTAAATGCTGGAATCCATTGACAGTTACTACATTGTATCACAATTGACCTTTCTGTTTTTGGAATAAGCATGTTAATTACTCTTTGCTATCTATGTTTTAATATATAAGAAACCAACGCTATGTTTATAACAGTTGTAACAGATTTCTTTTTGAACATTAATGATTAAATTCGTAAAGAACATTGTAAAGATTGAAGAAAAAAATCGTTCGAAAAGAATTCAAGTGCAACGAATCACGTATTCGAATTAATTCTGTTCTTTATCAATTGACTTTTGATTCAAGAATTTACACTTGTCAGAGTTGGTCCGTTTATCGGTACTTTATAAATATAACCTTGTATTTTATTTAAGATCATATTATGATCAAAGTACATTTAAATGACAATTTCATTCTTTTCTGGTGTCATGTGAAAAGACATGTCAATTTGTTTCAACATTTGTTACATTTATGCAGTGACAAATGTTGTAACGGAACATGTCCGGAATAAATTCAAACGTTTCCTATTTTTACGATTGATACTTCACGTAATACTTTAACAATGCGATTGCCGATGAAATGCCGCAGTACTCGAAGGTTAGACATTTGAAAAGGAACAGCTTTAAACCCTAAACGTATCAACGTCTAATTTCAACGAAAGGAGTTAATACTTTCTCATGATGCTGATAAACATTTATGTTACCGTTCATTTACGAATCTTTTGTAAATTACGTCATGTATCAAGAATTACGAATATTGTCGTATTCAAAGAAGTATTACGAGTTAATACCCTCATTTGCTGTAAGATAACGTAGGCGAGATGTCAAAACGTTCAGTTGAACGTAGTGTCGATTTAGAAGAGCGAAGATACTTTTTTAATAAAATTTCTTTCGAGTCACGTGTCATTTAACTGGTACAAATTCCAATTGAGGTTAAATATGTTGAAAGAGGGAAATATCGTTATTTATAAAATATCGTATCTCGATTACCTATTTTTTCTTTTACGCTTAAAACACGAGTATTAAAGTTTCGATAAATTTGGGTTTCATTTCCGTTCGTAACGCGCTGAAAGATCGTACAGATACGGGGTTATCGATTTTGGCGTTTTTCTCGTTTTTACTTTTTTTTCAATGCGTTAGAGGCATTCCAGCTTGCGGTAAAAATGACCTAACTTTATCTACTATTTATTAGTGTTGGTTGCCCAGTTTATCTAATACTTGTTAATTGCTAATGATGAAATCCTAGTATTTTCCTTGTTTATAACCTTGATATGTAAACATTAAAGAATCACATTATCGTATACCTTTGCAAGAGATTACTTAATCTCTCGGTAAAGTCATCGTTAATAGCCGGTTATCAACGACTTATAATGTTTTATGATAGAAAATATTAGAAAACTTAATTCCTTCAAATCCACTATGTTTTTGGCTGTTAATCGAAACCAGTCTTGTACAGAATTGTATTGCACGAAGATGTACGATATTCGATGCGACGAATTCGAATAAAATTAAACCGATATAAATAAGAGCGAGTTTATTCTCTACTATGTACTGCCACTACTCTGAACAGGCCGTTTCCTCTCCCATTTATCGTATCAGTGATTTTTAATGATTTCCTTTGCTTTTATCGCTCATCCATTTTTTACAAGCTTTAAAAAACAACGAATGACGAAAGACTCGTGCAAAGTATGGTTGACACGAAAATAAATGGAATTACATAAGAGCAACTTGTAATTAGTTCACAGAGAAAGAAAGAAAGACAGAGCCGGTTACATCGAGGTCGAAAGAGTCGTTCGAGAGGATACCGTTCATCACAGCAGCACTGACCCACCTCGGCTTCTATATTCTTATGTTCCTCGGTTTTATAAACCAATTATTTTTCACGCCGAAAGTCGCACAAGAATACAATAGAGAGGTAAGGAGATGGAAACGAATTACTTTGTACAAATAAAAAAAGGAATTATCTGAAGAAATATGGAGGCATTTTTAATCCTCTTTAAAATTTATTTATCCTTATAAAAAGATCAGATTCTTCTATTTAATCATGATTCGAAGAACGGTTAAATATTAATACCGATTTATTTTTACACCTGTAGCATTTGTATGTCCAGTGTATCGTTAGATTATATTTCTTAGAAAAGGAAATCGATAGAGGTAAGGCGCTAAGAATGTTTCAAGAGCAATCTATTCTATGACACTTTTAGAACAAGTTCAGTGACTCTCTTTATAGAAGAATATTCAAGATGCTCCAGGTTCTGGCTTTCACCTCGTTTATTATATTCTTTGTTCTTTTTTAAATTGTGAACGACCTGCGTACACGCGATCGAAGTTCGACCTTAAATTATTGAAAGTATCGCACTTATGGTTTTCCGTAGTTCGATCGTTTGGCGAACAAACGAACAACGCAGTGTACTGACGGTTAAAATTATGACGGCTATTCGGAATGATTGCGCGCGAAAAACTAATTCCTTCTTTTCCCGCCATAACTTTGACGCGACATTTGCTCCTTCGGATAAAAGGAAATCTTGGAAGAGAAATTGAAACAAGTTGTGATCAAATAAAAATTTCGTTCAATTGTAGTAATTTTTCGTTATTGTAATCGATATGAATATCTTAGGTAACTCCTTTCTTAATCCCAATGAATCATTGACAAGGCGTAACTCAATATCTAATCTTTGTTAAAGATAAGAATATACGTATTCGCAATAGAGAAAATATGTAGTTCCGGTGAAAACGATATTATGTTGTCAAATGGTTATTAAAAATGTTGTATAGAAATACTATCTTGATTTGAATCGTTCGAAAACATATTAATCGAAACGTTGTTTCAGGGTTACGCGCCGCTTTACGAACATTTCGAAGAATTTTACCTCCGATATGTATATAGAAGGGTCAGAGATTGTTGGAATAGGCCAATATGCTCTGTTCCAGGTGCTACAGTTACGCTTAAGGATAGAGTGACGCACGATTATGGATGGACGTTTCAGTAAGTTGACGAATTAACGAAAAGAGTCACAGCAGTAATAAAACAGTACGAAACTTACGTTAGTATCGATCGAACAGCTATAATCACTGGTTTTGCAGGTGTTTTAATATCGCCGTACCATCGCTAAAGATTTAACGCGATTCTTCGCTTAACTCCTATCCAATATTTATCGCGATTCTCGAAAGTTTCACGTTCCGTCCTTACTTAATTATCTTCGAAAAATCTGTGAATAATTGATCTTTAGATTTTTACTTCCGCCTCGTATAATATCAATTAGCCATTGTAACATTTCTCTATGATTATCAGAGATAATTAATCCGTTGCTAGCGAAGGAACTGTACAGATTTGAAAATCGTAACGCTATCGGTGATACAGGAAGGCAGACATTTGTCTTGATTAAATGTAATGAAGAACTCGATGAGATTATACGGCCAGCGAACGCGAAATCAGGCTTATAACTTGAAAATCAAAGTTGTGTAACTTGTTCTAGCAGTAGTTTCAACACGAACCGTTGAAAATTCGCCTGTTTAATTTATATTGTTGATCTTCAGATTTACAGGAACGACCACGGAATGCATCAATTTGGGATCGTACAATTATCTAGGTTTCGCCGAATCAAACGGCAAATGTGCCGATCAAAGTATCGAGGTTCTAAAAAAGTTTGGTTGTAGCAGTTGTAGTTCTCGTCTCGAGCTTGGTAATTCATTCTCCTCGCATATCGCTATCGTCGGTTTCATGATGTTGTCGAATTTTGATCGTTGTTTTTTTATACGAAGGAAATATGCCAATCCACGATGAATTGGAACAGTTAACAGCAAGATTTCTGGGCGTGGAAGATGCGATTATTTTTGGAATGGGCTTCGCAACGAATGCTCTTAATCTACCTTCGTTCCTAACTAAAGGATGTTTGGTGCTTAGCGATGAAAAAAATCATGCTTCGTTGATACTCGGATTGAGATTGTCCGGTGCTACCGTTAGAGTGTTTCAGCACAATGGTAAATCAACTAACGAAGAACAATCGAACAAATTTTAACGTTGAATTATGTTGGCTTAGATGTAAAAGATTTAGAGAGTCGTCTGAAAAACGCTATAGTTTTTGGTCAACCTGGATCTGGAGAACCTTGGAAGAAAATATTAATTGTCGTAGAAGGTGTCTATTCCATGGAAGGTTCTATCGTTCATTTACCAGAGATTGTGGAACTCAAAAAAAAGTACAAAGTAAATAAAGTTGTTCCGGTATGAATCTATCGTTGATTTTTTTCTTATATTAAATTTTAATCGACCATCGTAGGCTTATCTTTATTTGGACGAGGCCCATAGCACCGGTGCTTTGGGCAAACATGGAAGAGGTGTTTGTGATTATTATGGAATTGATCCACGAGAAGTGGATATACTTATGGGAACTTTTACAAAAAGCTTCGGCTCTGCTGGTGGCTATATTGCTGGAACAAAAGTAAGTAATGATCATGAATATCGTATACCGCAAATAAACTGTATTTATAGTCCGTTATCGTTTTTCAAAAGTAACAATGACGATTGTTCCATGATTTCAGAAATTAATCAATCATTTAAGGATATACAGTCACGCGCATACTTATGCAGCGGCCATGTCACCACCGGTAGCTCAACAAATCATTGCTTCGATGAAGATTATTTGTGGTGAAGATGGTACGGACGAAGGCAAAAAAAGAACGAAGCAATTAGCGAGAAATACAAGGTACTTTAGGCGTAGACTCAATCAAATTGGAGTCATCATTTATGGAAATGAAGATTCACCCGTTGTACCTATGTTAGTTTATTTGTTTTCTAAAATTGGGTACGTATTAAAAATTGCAATTTCGGATTGCAAACTATATTGCGAATCAAAGTAATTATTATTCGATGTAATAGCGCGGTTGTACGAACCTTGACGACACACAACATAGCAGCAGTTGGTGTTGGATTTCCAGCAACTCCGTTAATGGAAGGTAGAATACGGTTTTGTCTTTCTGCCGCGCATACTAAACAACAGTTAGATTATGTAAGTAATCCAGTGCTCTCCCTCCCCCAAATATCGTTTATTTTCTTTGTATCGCAAAATCTGTTCGATCGAAAGTTTTACTTTTTTTTTCTATCGTTCTAGGTATTGTCGCGTATCGAAAGTCTCGCAGATTCTTTGGGATTAAGATATTCTCGTAAAATTAGCGATCCAACTCCTATAGAATACTATTCTGATGGGGAAACCGAATGACCTACTGCATAAGAAATAAACTGTCTAGGACATTTACCTTGCTCCAAAGAAGCGTTTTATACTTCTATGGAGAGAGACACTGCCTTGGAAGAACTCTACACGCATTCTTTCATTTGCTTTTCCATTGATGCACACGTTACGCCGCTTAATTAAAGTACATCACAAATTATAAAGATATCGTCGATAAAATCGTCGAATATCTTGATCTAATATAAAATTAAATAGTAAGGATATTTTATTTTAGAAGGAAATGTTTCTTTCTCTTTATCGATACATACTAAAATGTTAAATGATTGATACGAATCGATAGTTCTTTCACGATTCTCTCCAACAGCATACAACGAATTATGAAATGTTAATGGGGAAGCCAAGAGTGCGTCAGAGTTCGGTTGCCCCCCATATTTTACGTGCACCAGGCTCGTAGAGGCATATGCACATATCGATGGCTGTGATATGCCAACTGATCCTAGATCCACAAGGTAGTTCTAACAAATAATTCACGAATAATTTTTCTTTCCTACGCCAATAGAGAAGCTAGAAGTTCGATATTTTTCTAAAAAATGGAAAAGGTCGAACCAACATTCTTTTCTTTTTGTGAATATTTGAAGCTTTTTGCCGCCATTCTGCATCGGCGCACTGCCTTAATTGCATTTATTTTATATTGAGCTTTTACATCGAATTTCAATCCTTTTGCTGTGACAAATGTCTTAGATAATAGCACGTCCTGTATGCGACAGTACAAAGCGTTGCAAAATTATCTACGTTTCGTAGTTACTACTTTTTCGTCTATACGCGCTAAAAAACTTACAGTTGCGATAAACAGTTCAAATAGGGTATTTGATACATTTAATATTCGTTTTAATTGCTTAAATCCTCGATAAAATGAACGTGTTTGGTCCGTTGAAATATGCGATTTGCAAACTCAGTGGCCACAGCGAAAGGTTTAATCTCGGAATGAACAAAAAATTCGATGTGCTTTTTCTCTCAAAATGATACGAACTCATATATAATAGTTTCAATTATGTGATAACGGTTTATGATAATTGATTTTTAAAAATTTTCGTCTGTAATTTTTTAGTCCACTTTATTTTTTAAGATTATTATTGTAAATAAAGATAATTATTCTAAATAGAACATAGAAGCGCGTGCACGTTTTTAGCAGAACAGTTTCGAGAATTTTTTAATTTTTGAACATAACTATATTACTGCGTATTTAAATTGTTAAAATGTTATAAAATCGATTGTTTTTTTAAAGCTAAAATTCGCAAATTTTAAAAAGGGCTGTAGAACTTATTTTAATATACCTCTACCAAATAAACTATTTATTCTTAAAGCATAACAGATTTACTGTTCTGACAAAGTAGCAAATTGCAGTAAAAGAAATTATATCCTTTTAATATTTCTGAGGTCTCTATGTTTCTTGAAATCAAAAGTAACAAAACTTACGAATACATCCAATTTCCAGAAATTGAAGTAATTTTTTAATAAATACGTGTTTATATCAAAGTTAAATTTAACGGTGAATCAAACCGTCATCTACCGTTAACTTATATCGAAAGATCGTAATTTTAGATAATATTTGAGATAGAAAAATATTTTATGGTAATAAAAAAATAGAGTTCAAATTTTAAAATAAAATTTTTTTAAAAGGAATGGTATTGTTTTATAATTCATTGGTTACCTACATATATTGTGAGTTACTAAGGAGTGTTTTCAATACAAATCTATCTTTTTAATTAAGTAAAAACAGTATGTGATACTTAAAATATTTCATTAAATTTCAATGCAAGAAAGAAGATTTTGAATTCTTCCCAAAATAATGCTATTAGCACAAACACAATTGATAGATTCGTATGGTGGTTTTATCGAAAGAATATTTTCAACTGTAATGATGTCATTTTCTTCTTTTACACCGAATCTATTTTCTCGAAGTATTTTAATCACGGCATTTTTTCGTCTTTCTATAGCCGATCGAGACAAATTTGTTGGTGTAGTCGTAAATAATTCTGGTAATTCGTACAATTTGTCTGTGCAAATTTCAACGTTTTTTATTGCATGGCCAAAAACGATCTTTAAATGATTTTGTTGGCAGCCCTGTAGCAGTACGACACTGTAAAATAGTATGTCGATCATTATAAACATAATAGGAAATGTACAATAGAAAATGAGAATATGTATAACGTTAAAACTTCTAACCTCTCTGATACGGGATCAACTGTATACACGATACCTGAACTTGTGGTTCCATCTTCTGTCAAAATATTTACTTGTAAGCCAACATAATTTTTAAACGATAAAGGATCACTTTTATAAATTTTATGAGAGAAATGTGAACTTTCTTCCATAATATAACTTCAGTATACGCTTCTGTCAGGATCATGGAATGAAAAGTGCGATTCCAATTATAAGAAAAAAAATTGCAAAGTAAGATACTTTATGTTGGTATTGAAATAGTTACTTCTTATAAATACAAAGATAACATAATCTAAAAAAATTATTATTGACAGCAACCGACAGTTGTATATGTAAATAAATAGTACAAGTTGTAAAGAGGATACCGTAAATGTGTATTTAATAATGGTTATTTACGGTGTTTATATCGTATCAAAATCGGGTGGACTAATTTTTAATCATGATCATAATGTTCCACGAATAGAAAATGAAAAGACATTTAATTATCCGTTGGATGTAAAGTTAGGTTATGAAAACAAGAAAATGGTTGTATCGTTTGGTCAGAAGGATGGAATTAACGGTAAAAATAAAATCCACTTTAAAGTTTAAAAACAAACACTGTTATCATATTAAGCGTATAATTTACTTATTACAGTGGGTCATGTTTTAACAGCGGTAAACGGCAGTCCTGTAGTAGGAAGAGAATTAGAAAATGGAAAAGATATATTTGAATTGCTTGAACATCCAGACAATTTTCCTGTGTCGCTTCGATTTACTCGTGCTAGAATGACAACCAATGAAAAGATTTTTCTAGCATCTATGTTTTATCCTTTATTTGCAATTGCTAGTCAATTAAGTCCTGAACCACATTGTTCTGGAATTGAAATTTTAGAAGCCGATACATTTAGATTGCATTGTTACCAAACATTAACTGGTATCAAATTCATCGTTGTTGCAGAACCTTCACAAAGTGGAATAGAAATTTTATTGAAAAGGGTATATGAATTATATGCAGATTATGCTTTAAAAAATCCTTTTTATTCATTGGAGATGCCAATTAGATGTGAACTATTCGAGTCTAATTTACAGACTTTGTTGGAAAATGTTGAAAAGTCTGGTGCTGGTACTATTTAATTGCTAATGAACTAATTACTAGTAAATAACAAACATTTATTGATTGTACCAGTTAAATTAAGCAAATTTGTTATATGTTCATGTTTGAAGGTATAACATAAACTGTATTAAGTTATAAAAGGTAATAAATATTAATGACTTACGTTTTCATACATATTTAATATGAAATATATACAACAATTTATTAAAACATTTTAAAACTGTATATCAATAGCAACGTAAATATCATTATTAAAATTTCCTTAACATTAATTGTTCATTCTATGAGGATTTCCCTGTAGACTCTGTTAGTTTTTTCACGAAACTAAAAATATCTTCAGCCAGAAGTTTGGGCTCTTCAAAGGCTGCAAAGTGACCTCCGCTTTTCAAAATATTATATTGAATTAAATTAGGAAATCTGTCTGCAAGAAGACTCTTGGGTGTTGCTAAAAGTTCATTGGGGAAAATTGCACAAGCAGTAGGAACTTTCACAGGTAATCTAAAATGGAATCAGTATTGATGCAGATATTATCATAATATACCAATTATTTTAATGCTTATACAAGTAAAAAATAATCTTAAACTTACCGTTCAATTTTCAAAGCTTGGTATGCTGCACTAAAGTTCTCAGAATAAAGACGAACACTTGTGGTAATACTACTGGTAACCCAGTATAACATTACATTATCCAGAAGTTCGTCCAATGTATATTTTTCTAAAAGTCCACCATCATTTCTGTGTTTATATTCTTTATTTGTCCATGTACTGAATTTTTCAAAAATATATGCTGCCAAACCATCTGGTGAAGATGTTAGCCCAACTCCTGATAAAAAGTGTTATAAATTTTATATATTTCAGTCCTTATAGTGTGTTGATTATTTGTAATAAAGGACAACACCTCTTACCTACTGTATCTGGCTTTGTAGCCTGTATATGGAAGTACCCAGATTCTTCAATCATGGATAGTAAAACTTTACTGAGAGGATAGAATAGCTCATAATTTTCACTACCTCCTACTAATGATGGGAAATAGGAGCCAATAAACGTCCAAAACATCGCCTTTGGTGTAAGTGCAGCACACATGTTGGTGTGCAAACCAATTACCCTAAAAGCAAATTTATGTTTCTCGCGAATTTTGAGAGTCGAAGTATTATATTTACTAACTTTTCTGGATAAAGAGCAGCCATGTTAGAAGTGACAAGAGCTCCCCAATCTCCTCCTTGAACGTAAAATTTATCAAAACCAAGCCTGTGCATCAAATTCTTGAATATCACTGCCATCTAGATAAGAAATTTTTTAAGAAGTTAAAAGTCACTGGTTATTTCTCAATTTATTTACATTCAAAAGTAAAATATTACTTGAGCAGTGGCCATTCCTGGTCGAACAGCTCCTTCTGAGAATCCATAACCAGGTAGAGACGGTATAACGAGTTCGAACACAAAGTCATGTTTAGGCCATGGTTTTGTCAGCATAGGTATAATTTTTTGAAATTCGACGACAGATCCAGGCCATCCATGCAGTAACAATAAGGGTAAAACTTTCAAGTTTTTATCCTTTGGAAGGTTTGTTGGTCGAACATGGTAAAAGTGTATATCCAAACCTAGTATTTATAAAACTTTACAGTATGCTTTTCTGATGCTTTTTACCCTCTTTTCTTCATTGAAAATTACGGTACTGATTACAGATAATGATTACCTTGGATAATTGTTTTGAACTGAGGATACTTATTCAACAATGCTTGTCTCTCGGTCCAGTTATATTTGTTTTTCCAGTAATCAAGTACCGTGTTCAGATATTTCGTGGAAATTCCGTAAGTCCAAGCTACATCTTCTAACGGTTCAACGTACGGTCTTCTATGTTCAAGTCGATATTTTAGATCCCCGATGACCTTCGAAAAAAAGTAAAACTCAACAAATATGACTTTACTTACTAACTAAATAAATATTATTTATAATATTTCGTACCGATGCGGGTACATCGATTTTAAAGGGTCGAATTTCGGTAGAATCTTTCACATTCTTCTTCGGGCCCCAATTTGTTTCTGGTAAGGTTGGTACTGGAAGTTCATCCGGGTAGCTAAAGAAATATTGTTGAAACATGTTAGAAAATTGTATCTTGAATCTATCTTATGGTCGACAGGAAATCACGAAAAAAATATTAAAAATTACATTAGTGATCATGTTTTATCAATTTGTTTGACATGTTTTCGTTAAACATTTGCTTGTTAACTGTATAATCATTTTATTTTAGTTCTCTATTCGTAAATAATTTTCGTAAAATATATTTATTGGTATAATAAAAATGTGCTTGGAATCGTAAGACATTTAGTATTGACAGTTAGATAACGCTGCAATTAAGTATTTTTATCCTTAGAAATGTACTTCTGTCTGATCGAAGTAGCAGCGGTATAATTTAAGATAATCCTGTGACGTTGTCGATGAACTTTGTACTTTACGGAAAAAAAAATGTATGTTACAGTTTGTGTATCAAAAGGATTGGGGAGATACTTACGTGGAAAGTAACGGAGACGGTTCCATTTATTTTATTGTATTTAAGAAATTGACCTTCGATCAAAAATGATCTAACCGAGAAGATATGACTTAACACAAAATACCATTTTTTGATAATATACGTATACAATTATCAAGCATAGATATACATTATCAATTTAATTGATAACTAAACAGATAAAACTAAATTTTCTAACAAATCAATTTTTAGCCAGATTAGATATTTAACAGCCTTGTCCTTTTGCTTACTTTAAGATACCGGGAGAATAAACTTGAATGATTTAAATTTTATTGTTTATTTTATCTTCAGAAGACACACATTTTATGGGAATCATAATATTAGCATGATGAATGGAAATATTTATTCAGGATATTTATATTGATACATATATTAATCGATTAATTTTTTAGAAGATTTTGTTCATTTTTTGCTAAAAAAAAATGTCGATTAATAAATTTTATGAAAGGATTTTGTACGATTTGATTATTTGAATTATATAGAGATAGAATGAATATGACCTTCACCGGTATCTTCTAAACTTGTCCTGCACATAGGTATTACGCGTTAGTACGGACAGTTGAATATTCAATAAAACTTAGATCGATATTATTTATGTTTCAACCATCTTTTAATTAACTTATATAGTTTCTACTTTGGATCACTACTTATATAACGAACCTGTAATCATTTTGGAAGTTAACTGATAACTGTTATACTCGCAAATATACTTTGTATTATTTCTATCTGAGTATGTATCTTACGATGACTTGGCAATGCTGAGTGTATTATTCGCTATATTGTACAGTTGAAATGACACACGACTCGATATTATATGAAAAAAAGGACAGTTTACATATTCATTCTATGAAAAAAATTAATAACAATTTAAAATGAATGCGACTTATTAAGATCGATATTAATGTTAGATTGTATTTTAGCTACGTTACAAAGGCGTAATCAATAGAAAACACGAACATTGTCTACAGAACAAAAGTTATTATAATTGTATTCTTATGATCACACTCGGGTCATTCGCATTATACTTTTAAAATAGGTAATGATTTATTCTTGAGTAGATTTTAACATATCAAAGTATCGAATACTTGTTGAAATCAGAACTCGTCAAGATATTTTTTACACATCTTTCGTTGTTAATAATATTATATGTATAGTGACAAATATATTTGCAAAATATTTTATTATTTTCATCCTTTTTATTTTTTTCTAGTTTTCTTTGCAACTGGAAAATGTATACAAATAATAACGGTGCTTAATAATGAATAAAAAATAAATCTTTGCATGGAATAAACATAATTATAGGATTGATTTAATTAACTTGAATAAGTGATTCATATTTTTTTAAGGTCGTGTAATGTGCCGTTAGTTATCTGTTAAAATTAAATTCACTTACTTTAAGAAAATGCCTATTCCAACAGCGCTGAGCGTTATGAACACTACAGATTTCCACATATTGTACTTCGATATTTGTAGATTGGTGTCCGAACTGTCCAACCAACGATGCTCGAATGCGTGAAGTGTTATCTCTTACTACGGATTTAAGGAGAATAAATAAAGATCCTCAGGATAAAACATTCAGGCGGAGTAAAAACTGAGGGATTTTGTTGTCCAGCACCATCTAGTGGCCGGTGTATCCTAGTATATGTATATTCGACATTTGAGTAAGTTCTCATTCATTTTGTAACACCTGTAAATATGTAGTGTAAGGATAGTTTATAGTTTAAAAGTACACAATTATAAACATTCGAAAACAACAGCAACACTATTATATTTTGTTACACGTCTTTTGTCATTTCTACAATATAAAGAATTCGAATATTTGTAATTATAAGAGAAAATTATTACTAAATAATTAAGATTAACTTAAAGATAATTTTATTCAACTGATAATTAGATGAGGAAGTATGTAGTTACATTTACAATACATAGAACTTATCGATATAACGAAAGATCGCACGTTTCTTATTTTAATATAGAAAATTTATATTTAAATAGAACCACTATATTATGATAGACTTTTCTATATTAGTTATTACAATTCCTGTGTGTAATTATGCGGAAGTTGTTTTAGTCTTTCTGAATCTATATGAACCTATAAATCACTATGTCTCGATAAAAATTATTCGGAAGCGATCTTTGGCAACTTGAATAATTTGCACAAGTACTATTGAGAATACTTCTAATTGCACTATTTAACATGTACATATCGTTATAATTTTATTTTCTGTGTCTTCACAATTAGTTCAGATTACATATACCTAATGAGTTCATATTCCGATCTTCTTAAATAACATTATGTACAGAAATTAAAGAGGATGAACTATTTACTTAATTAGATTCTTTTTAGAATATCATTGTTGCGCAATACTCTGCGTAAACGTAGTATGCACGTAGTGCAACAGTTGTTTTAGCGATAAACGAAAATTTCTTTTGATTTAAAATTCTGTTCTTCAAACCTATAAATTTCGCAGAAAATTATTTCAAGATTAAGTATGTTTTCCTTGTATTTGCACATTCGAACACATTTCTTTTGATTGATCGTACAAAACTTACTATGAGCAAGTATTTAAAATTAGTCTAAGAATTTTACATTTGGAAGCATTTTATACATATATCTGTAATAATCACTGTAAAGCACCTTTAATAAGCAGGAAACATGTCCTTAATCGTTATTCGTATCGCTATATAAAAACAACCGTACATTTTAATTTGATATACGCATGAAAAATATATAAAACATAAATATTTTGTGTTAATAATTCGGACAGAAAATAATACATACATAAGTATGTATAATGGAAGCAATGTAACACAAAAAGTTACTTATTGTTGAAGATCGAAACACTTTTATGTATAACGAGAACAATGCCTGATTGAGTATAAAATATGACAATTTAAAATGAATGAAATCAAAAATCAATATTGTATCGTAACGTGGTAGATTATAAAAGGTAATTCTAGCCACTGTACACATCAAATGTTCATAATTTCAGAGACTACTTATCATTTTAATCATATGTTAATTACATGAAAATTTACATAAGAGTGTTTCATGTTATTCTTAACAGTATACATACATTTGTTTTTTTTCTTTCTATACTCGCGCGCTAGTTACCAGGTACTGATTAATGTTTGCAACAAAGTGGAATATATTCCTTGTCAATACGTTACACTCCTTTCTACAAAGGAAAACTGTATACCTTTGGACAAGATTTAAGTTTAAATTTTATAAAATGTTAGTAATTTAGGACCATCATCATGATATTCAATAAAATATCATTGATTTTTAAATTAAAATACAAAGTTCAACAATTTGTCTCACATATTGGCATCTATGCTTTTGATTTTTAATAAACAATCTACAGATGACGTATTTTATAATATTTCTTATCAAATATTGAAATAATTCAATTGTTTCTATGTTTGTTCATGTTATATTATGTTATTTTATCTTTGACCATTTAATTTTATAATAGAACACTTTTAATAAATTTAGAGATTTACTTGTTCAGTCCAAAGGTATGTACATGTGTGTAAAAAGAACATTGTCTCGTCATCTACAGGTTTCAATAACTATTAATGAGCAATAAGGTAATGTTAAAAATTTGAACGAATTGCTATAGTCATTGATAGCTAGTGGAAATAGATGTTAATGCGATTGATCTGTCTCTCGATGCATTTAATATTTTCTACTTGAGAGTATTCGTCGATATAATACATGTTGTCATTGAGTGTCATCATTCGAATCGACAATTTCAAAATTATTTTGCAGATATTTACCCTTTAATACTACAACATTTATACCTTTTTTGCCTCAAACAAGGGAATGCAACTACTTATATTACTTTCTGCCATTATACAGTTTAAAAAGTAATAGAGATTTTAACTATGCATATGCTATAGAAGTCCCGAAATAATTTTAACTGCGTGGGTATGATTAAATCATCGCTAAATATAAAACTTAAATCTAGTTACGTGTTATTAATAAGCGGAAAGTCAAAAGGCACCATGTTTTCCAATATCTTAAAGATACTTCATTGCACTTTACAACTGATCGAGACGTTTTTGAATTCGTTTATAATAGTAAATTATACCTTATATAATAAACGTCAGATCATTAAAAGTCTTCATCGTTTAACAATAAAAATAGGATTCAATATTTTAGAAATTATAATCTCGATTAAAAATTATAAAATGGCTCAAAATAACTTTTTTCTTTTTTTAAATAAGCTTCAAGCGTTTCACGTTATAATAGAGGATTCTAAGAACTTTTATACGTTAAAATTTTAACACTTACACTATAGAATCTCGATCGTAGATAGTAAAAATGATCGAGGCTAGCTGGAACGATTAAAATTGTTAACAATCTATAGTTGATAGATGTAAATGAATAATGTAACAGATCCATGGCCTAATTTGTTATATTTAAAGACTAGAAGAAATCCTCCACACAGAGCGTTAAGACGATAGTGCTAGACCCAAACGAGCAAACGCCATTTCCTTCCGTAATCGTGTAATTTCCCAATAAACATCGTGAACTATAAAAAGATCGTTTTCAGTCCTTTTAATATAAATGTGCGACACAGATCTTATATAGCATGTAAATATGTACCTGAACTTTTAACAAGGCCACGTTCGATATAACGTAGGTAATTCAAAAAATCGCAGACTGCTATTATCTGTAGAAATACATATGTAATATTATGTTTAATATTTTTTAACTTTCTTCAAGTTGTGTATAAAAGTGAAAAACTTACTCGATTTCGACAAATTTGTGATATGCTGTACCACTGATTTTCTTGATCCCCGAGCCTCATTCGATAGTAACATTGACGCGGTGCTTCCAGTAACACACACTTTCTAAAATAATATGAGAGATATATTTATTACATATTTACAGAAAATATGCTTATATGGCCTTTTGTGCCTTTTAATGTGTATTAATTACTTTGGAAATGTAAATTTAGTCTTGTCGCTTATCGCTTCGATAAAGATGATACCATCGAGAACAGCTTGCCTAACTTTTGTTCCTAATTCTTTATTAGGGAAATCAAGGCAAAGATCGATGTCTTCTTTAAATACTCTATCAACAAAAGGATCACCTTTATCTACACATGGATTAGCTTTCCATTTAAGAAATTCTGTATGTATTCTAGGATCAACTTCGAGGCCAAAATCTTTACACTCTTTGTCCTTTTCTTTGTCCGAATCTTTTTTCCAATCTCTCTCTAGAGTCTCTCGATCGGATGGTAAAGACGGTCTTTGTTCTTTTAGCGGGGAATCCGGTGGAGAGTTCTCTCGACCGTATTTTAAGTTGAAATGCGATGGTGATCTAGAATTAAAAAATATATAAAATTCTTATATAATAAAAATTAATTATATAATAATTAAAACTTAATTTACCTTCTGTGTTTTCGCGTAAAAAGACCCTGTTGACCATCTTCGCTATTTGAACGACTTTTCGTATCGATTTGCGGATGTAAATGAAAATTTGGTTTCGCCGGTGTTGAAGTTAAAACTAACGTTTTCAATGCTGCTACTTCGGCAGCTAAAACCTCGGCTTTCATACGACTTTCCTCTAATAAGCGCTCTGCTGTAGCCTGACGTACATTTGCTTCTCTAACCATATTATGTGCCTCCTATTTACATATAAAATTGTATAATATGGTTTATGATCAGTTTTCTTTGTGAATTACATAAAGTGTCCTTTATATAATTTTTGTTCTTATATCTTATAAGTTATAACGTTTACTTGAAAGAGACTGGCAGTGAGTTCCTCTAATTCAGCTTCAACATCTTGTTTAATTCTTGAAAGCCTTGTAACTTCTTCATCTTTCAATTTTAACTCTTCGTGTGCTCTTTTAAGTTCATCTTGTAATTTTGCTACTGCATGTTCCTTTACTTCAGCTATAGCCCTACCCCATTGTAGAGTAGTAGGTGAAGGTGGTTGATTAACTTTTTTCACCAAACATGGTACATCCTTTTCTTGAGAATTCTGAAATCATTAATGGAATGAATTTAATACACTGAATTTATACTTAAAAAATATAACTAGTTGATAATAATACATTGAATCACAAGAAATTACTTCTGAGTCCTTTAAACATAATAATGCTTTTGAGGAGTTATTGCAATGATTAATCCCTGTTGAATCATCAACATAATCGTGATCGTTTGTTAAATCTTCACCATTTTCTTCGTTAAATATAATAGGTAATGGTTTAACACAATGATTCCGGTTTTCAAGCAGTTTATGTTCATTTTCATTCAACCTTGCCACAGTGTCACAGGATTTTGTAAGTTTTCTTTCTTCCATCGTTGATGAACTTCAATATCACGATAGATCATTGTGGAGTTTTCTGGTATATGCAAATGCAAAAGTGGTCTTGGTTGAACTAGAACTGAATGAGTTAGTTATTAAAAACCATGTTGTTTTATTCAAGGACAATTTAAGCTAATAATAAATTCTTTATAATGAATTCCTAAAATATTCTGAAAGTGTAAGGAATGTCTTTAAAATAAACACAGCTATGTTGTTACACAATAGTAGATATATGTGATGTTAAGATCTAAAAAAAGAAATAGAATTCCGAATAATTTAATCGTATATAATTTTCTATATACAGTTTCGAAATAATTCAATTTGTAAAACGTATAACAAATTCAATGAAAGTAGCTACCCTGTCGTACACCTTTCATAACGGAACATCTTAATTAATAGTAATTTATCTTCGTAATTAGAAAGGCGGTGGAAAATGTCCCGCTAAATTTTCTTCATACCAAGCAAGATATATCATTTAATCTAGTACAAGCATTGTACGTATTATTTCAACATATTATAATAACGAAATATTTCACAGCATCCATTGTTAAAAAAATCCATCGACAGAAGAAGGATCAGTGCGTATCGATCCAAACTTACAATGATTCTAATACTATAAGCATCTATAACCTACCCGTAAACCTCTCTTCACGCAACTCTCCAGCCATTAGTGAGTCTAACGAAGATCATAAAAGTATATTAGAGCGAAAACGAATACGTAGTTGATACGACTTTTCTACAATATGTCAACTTTGTGTCTCAGTCTTACGAGACACGCTAGCCATCATCCTTTTATGACCCGCAACACGGTCCGACTGAAGAGTTGGATAGAATGAGTGAACTTTCAAGCGCCACAGGTTAGCCGGTTAGTCGCTATTAATCAGGGCCGGCACGAGAAGGGTTCAGAGCATTCTTTGTAACTCAGTTCCATGCTTTGAAAGGTCTCGCAATCCATGAAAAATTCGTTATAAATTTTACAGGGCTTCATGAATAATCATATACCTATTGGCAACAGTAGGTTTTCGTTATATTGCTACCTCTTGTATACAATATGGTATTACCTCGCGTTGTAGCGCATGTGCACTAGCGACTTTCCCCCATTATCGCAGTACACGTACACTAGTGGCGATCCTCTGCCATTGTAGAATACTAAAATTCACAGAGATTGCCGCAATATCAGAAGTGACAATCTCGTGATTAACTTAATGTATTGTCAACTCCAACAATTTTCCGTTATTAGTCTTGTCCATGACAATATAACAGGAGTCTACTGTATTAATAAAACTATAATTTTTGAATGATCTCACAAATATTTGAGCCGGCCCTGTTGCTAAATGTCCGTACTACCTCGTACCAGGTCGTACTCGTGCTTCGTAGATTATAAAGTCATTGTAGTTCGTACGCGTCTTAAATTAGGTAAAGAACTATGAAAGTAAGCGTTTGCATATGTAAATTTTACTTGATGAATTTGCATCGATTCTTTTGTTAAATGTAAATAGTTCAAAACGATTTCAGTTGCATTTGATGTAGTTTACAGTGTAATTATTTTCTCACGCTCTCATTTAACACTACTTTAATTATACAAATGTCAAAGCGTTTCTCATGTCCACTTTGCGAAAGTATGTTAGTATGAATAATATTTTATGTGGAGTTTTTTAAACGCAACAATACCTTGTTCTTTTTCAGCGATCGATGGTAATTTTGATGTCTAGTAACTTAACAATTTTGTTTCGCTCCTGCATCAATGACTTCGTACTCTCTTCTTTACCGTTACGAGGCGTCTGCTGTAGCGTTTGATACTTTTCGTGCGTGACTGTGCTTTCGGTTTATACTTGTCTCTGTGCCTGTGAGACATGTTCCCAAGCTCAAAGGAGGCTTGAATTAAACCCAATAAATCGAATGTAAATCACTTGTTTCTATAATAATTTACATTTGTAAACAATGGATATCGAAAGTAAGTGCCGATTGAATATGTATTTATCATTGATGTTTTATTGTTTCTTGGTTGTTTAAATATGATTTATATGTATCCTACTTTGATATTAACTATGCACGTGCAAATACATAAAAATTCTTTTTATAACAAATTTATTGTAAGAATGAACTTTTGCTTATTGGATATAGCACACTACTTCTTTTATAATAATATTTTAATAATTTATCATCAATTAAAGTGATATGAAAATAAACACTTGCAATTTTTGTATATTTGGTATATCATATCATACGTATAATCAAACTGTTATACAATAATAGGATTAAGCAAAAAGAAGAAACGGATCAAACGTGATGGCAACCTTCAGCAATTGGCTGAAATTGTTAAGGAGCTTGGAGATATATATTTTGAAACTGGAAAGTATGAAGATGCTTTACAAGAGTATAAGGAGCAGTTAGAAGTTTGCAACACTTTAGGAGATAAACTAAACATTGCTGTAGCTCATAGAATGGTTGGAGAGATATATGCAAATTTAGGCACCTATGAGGAAGCATTAAAGCATCAAAATTTATATTTGGGTTTGCTTTCAAGATGATGGATACCAATAATATTGCATGTTATAATCTAACAACATAATTGTAATAACAATATTTTTGTGTTAGGCAGAAGGAGCCCAAGAGATAAACAATTTGTTGGAAGAACAACGTGCTTATGCAACATTAGGTAGAACATATTTCTGTTGGGCAGAAAGTTTGCCTGGTGAATCTGAGAATAAATCTGATGCTCTTGCAAGTGCTAAAAAAGCATATATGAAGAGTATACGTCTTTGCAATGAGTATATATTCTTGTCATAAAATCATATTAATTTTCATAACAATATTTAAGTTATACTTCAAAAATATATTGTATTTTATTTAGATTAGGAGATACAAATATCGAGTTGAAAGAATTAATCACTATGAGAGCTAGGTTGCTTTTGAATTTAGGCCTAGTGCTAGAAGCTCAGAAAGATCATGGAGAGGCTGTTGATTTAATGGAAAAGGCTGCAGTATTATGTCAGACTCATAATTTGCGAGAAGATTTTCATAGAACACAAATTGCTTTGGGAGGAATTTACGACCGTCAGTGCAATTATGAATTGGCATTAAAACATTTCGAAAAAGCCGCCGAGATCGATAATACATCTCTAAAAGCAGAAGCACGATTATTTCAAGCGGAATTACTTTTGAAAATGGAACGATGGCAAGAATCGCGCAAGATGTTAGTGTCTTTGTACGTTGCAACCAATTTACCACAAAATCTGAAACATCAAGTTGAAAAATGCCTTAGGATAGGTACGTTTCCGAAGATACAAATTTTTGCTGTAAAATTAATATAAGTTAACATTTTGTTATAGTTGCAACTTTACATACTACCGAGCATGCTTTAAGCGAAGAAGAAAGTACGAGCGGTAAGTTGAAACTTTACGAAACATTAGGAGATGCAGCGGTTGCTGCAAGTTGTTTTGAAAAAGCTGTCGATTATTACAAGAAGATGCTCGAATGCGCGGAAGAGATTAAAAGTGACCGTACAGGAGCAGCTTTGTTAAGTCTGGCACAAACTTTGAAAGATGTTGGACGATACGATGAAGCGTTAGAATTTGCTCAAAGGGAGTTGATGTTATGCACGGATCCACGTGAAACATGTAGGTCTGCTTTATTTTTGGCAGATTTATTAATAGCTAATAAAGCAGCTGATGAAAAAATTCAAGAAATTTATAATTTAGCTTTAAAAAATGCAAAAGATTGTGCCAATTTTTCGTTGGAAGCGTCGGTACTAAAAGAACGTTTAAATTTTTTAAAAACTTCCGGTAACACAGACGAAATAGAAACTCTTCAGGAAAGATTAAAAGAGCTGGACAAATTTTCGGATGACACAGACAGCGAAAATGAATCGGAAGAAAATAACATTGGTGCAAACATTTGTTTGGAAGATTTGTCAGATGTAGAAACCGAATTGAAAGCTAAAGGAAGTAGCAAGATGAATAGAAAACGAGCTAGAAATAAATCAATGATAATAAAAAGAAACGAGAAAGGTGAAACACAGCTTCATGTTGCTTGCATTAATGGAAATATCGAAAACGTTGAAAAGTTGTTGGAAGCCGGTCATTCAACGAACGTCAGGGACAATTTTGGTTGGACACCACTTCACGAGGCCGCTAATCATGGTTACGTGGAAATCGCAGAGTTGCTATTGAAACACGGTGCAGATGTAAATGATCCTGGAAGCCTCATGTGCCAAGGAGTTACGCCTCTTCACGACGCAGCGTCTTGTGGTAATATTACGATGATGAAGCTTTTAATTCAACACGGAGCAAACGCAGAACTTAGAACAACTGAAGATGATTCAGTGCTAGATTGTTTAGAACAATGGAGAAATCGCGTTGATTATTTGTCTCCCAACGATCAAGCCGAGTATGATGAAATGTATAACATATTGTCTGCTATAATCCCATCAAGTAAAAAGAAAAATTTTAAACGATTGCATAAATCACCGCATAGTTCAAAAACTTACATCGTTGACGAAGATGATAACGTAAAAAACATATCTGCAGGTGAAGATTACAAAAGAACAATAGCCAGTTTGAAGCGTAGAAATGATCCAATTGGAATACCTTTGTCTCGCAATAACTCTAATATAAATCCACTTTTAAACAGTGAAGAAGTTCTTTTAGATGATTGGTTAGAAGATGATATCAGTGAAAATATCAGCAATAGAAGATATTCCGATGAAACATCAACTTCAATTACGAAAAGAAAGTCAAGCAATGGCGATATTGATTTTGAGAAAAATTTAAAACGACAGAAAACAAATAATGAAAATTTTGTACTAAAAGAACAAAAATTTGATTTAGAAGAAAAAGGTAGCAACGATCGTTGCGATACCGTCGATACGTGTTCGAATTCGTCCAAACTTCGAAAAAGAAAGCAGCAAACGTCCTTGTTATCGATTGGATTTTCCAGAAATCCGATTTCTCGATCTCCTTCTCCTGTAATTTCATCACCTACGGAATTCAAATTACAAGAAACAGATTCCATAAGATCAATTATTTTAAATGTTTCCGTGGAAGGAAAAGTATTCAAAACGCAAGTAGAATTTTCAAATACGACAAAACCATTAATACAAGATATTTTAGCTGACATTGAAACACAATTTTATAACGATAGTGGCTGTAAAGCCAAGTTTGATTTAAAAACTGTAAGTGGTATTGCGATAAATTGTAATAATTTACTTACGATTTTGAACGAAGGAGATATTATTAAGAATTTGAAATGTGAAATAATTGAATTGGAAACACCTTCTATCGTCGATCGGTATGGAACGATTTGTAAAACTTACGACATTGGTAAATGCTTAATAGTAAAACATTCAATTGGATTAACTTGTTAATGTGTGTATTAATTTTCACGTTTAAACTTTTCAGATGTTCGTGACTCCGTATTAAAATGTTTAAAATCATGCGAGAACACACGTATATTACGATTGAAACAAGGGGATATTAGTAAGAAAGAACTTGTATCTGTATTAAAGACTTTGAAATATGAAAAAAATGTCCAAATATTAGATTTATCTGGTGGAGAGTTGTATGAAATGGGAAAAGATTTAAACGATTGTATTTTAAAGTTGTTATCTTTACAAGAATTGTGCCTACAAGGCTGTGACATTGATTCGAATTGTTTAAGTAAATTAGACAAGTTACCTGTACAACTTAAGCTATTGGATCTCAGTTACAATCCGCTTGGACCGGAAAGTCAGGATATTTTATACAAGCTTCTTAGTCCTTTGACACAACTTCAAACTTTAAAAATACGATATTGTCAATTATGCAATTTTCAATTTATTTCGAGCAACTGCAGCCTTGTAAATATAGATATTTCGTGGAATAGCTTCAATGAAAATGGACTCTGTAATACTTTACAGAGACAGCTACTTAATTTAAATTTATCAAATACCGTGTATTCAAGCGAATTTAATTTAGTGAAAAACATTTTTACTACTACGAATTTTTCGTTTTTAAATTTGGAATGTTTGGAAGTTGCTGCCTGTGATTTATTAGATATCGACGTAAGAAATATATTGTCACAAGCTTCAAATCTTTCCAAGTTGGTACTTAGAGGAAATAGAAATATAGGAGTACAGTCTCTGAATTTGTTATTGAAACATACGCCAACGTTAAGATATATTGATGTCAGTGGTTGTATGACTATTACCGATTATCCTGATGTTGAAATATTTATTGAAAATCCTGTAATTTGTACATTAATTGTGAGCATGTATCCTGAAGTGTGTGAACATTGGATACGTTTGTGGCGAGGAAATGGTATTGTAAACAAATTACCGCACAATCTTGTTATTTTTAAACCAATTAAAGAGATAGAAAGATGAAATTTAATATTTTATATATATATATATATTAATACACGTGTATAAAGGAACAAGAGAATATCATAAATTACAGTTGATCTTTTCCAGTTGTAAAAGTTTTTATTTTATCTTTGTTTTTTATATATCATAGAAAATAATCGATTACAATTATGTGTTAGTACTTAAGTAACGTGTACTGAATCTTGTTGAATAATGTATAAAGTTCGCGCTACTTGTTCTATTTTTTGACACAGGTTGACGTACCTCGATGTGAACGGGACTTAATTTGACATATCCCCATTCAGTGTATACATACATATATAATTAATCTTGATTGTTTACGATAACCTTTTATTCGCGATACTTTACTATGAAATTGTATCAGTCATCAAGAATGAATTTGATTAAATAAAACGAACACTTTAAGTTCATGTGGAAGACTGTTCCATAACGTTGGATCTCGTAATGCAGATTAAACAGTTTTATAACAGATAAGAAATATTATTTATCGAATAGTGATATTGTTATTATCATATTATTAAGCTTATTCTCGTGCAATAATGTGAGTGATCGGTGCAATTAATAATTGAACGAGTAACGACAGTACATATTCTAAAATATTATACTTACTTTTTCAGAAATTCTAATACAGAAGAGTACAAATTAAATCTTTATTATTGACAGGATGTTTGTATACCTAAGTAAAAAGATAGCAATACCAAATAATTTTCGATTAAACTGTATAGCATGGAATCAAAAAGAAGGTTATATAGCTGTTGGAGGAGAAGATGGCCTTTTGAAGGTACTTAGAGTCGATTCCAATGTAAGTGGATCTACCAATAGTGGAAAATCTCGAAATTTAACTGCTGCTAGTAATCTGAGTATGAATCAGACCTTGGAAGGACACAATAGTCATGTACAAGTTGTTACTTGGAACGAACAGCATCAGAAATTAACTTCCAGTGATCAGAATGGCGTAATTATAGTTTGGATGTTGTATAAAGGATCTTGGTATGATGAAATGATAAACAACTGTAATAAATCGGTAGTTAAAGGAATGGCATGGAGTTCCGATGGTCTAAAAATTTGCATAGTATACGAAGATGGAGCAGTCATCGTGGGTTCTGTGGATGGTAACAGAATTTGGGGAAAGGAATTGAAGAATGTATCTCTTGCTGCTGTACAATGGTCTCCAGATGGGAAGCTTTTATTATTTGGCTTGAAAAATGGGGAAGTTCATCTTTATGATAATCAAGGTGTATTTTTAACAAAGTTACATATCATAGCGCTTAATACTAGTCAAATTCAAACAATAGTATCCTTAGAATGGTACGATGGAAGAAATGGTTATATCGGTTTAGACTGTCCTACTTTGATTATTTGCTACAGAAACGGTAGAATACAACTTATGAGAGACGCAAACGACGATAATCCGATCATAATAGAGACTGGTATGACAGCAGCATGGTGTTGCTGGAATAGTTGTGGATCTTTGTTAGCGGTGACAGGAATTATGCCGTTGCCAGGTAACGGCGAGACGAAGGATGCAAATGTCATTCAGTTCTATACTCCGTTTGGTAAACACACGAAAACTCTAAAAATACCTGGTAGAGAGGTAACGTGCTGCGCATGGGAAGGAGGATCTCTCAGAGTAGCTTTGTCAGTTGATTCTCACATATATTTTGCAAATATCCGTTTAGATTACAAATGGACTTATTTCAGTAACACAGTGGTATATACGAACGAGAAGATTGGCAAAGATGGTATCTGCATAGTGTTCTGGAATACTATTAACAATACGTGTTGCACGAAATACGTGAAAGCGTTAGTATCGATAGCTTCGTACGGAGACCACTGTGTTCTGGCAGTGAAAAACGATCTTGTACAAGGGTCTGAACAATTTGCCCTTCTAGTTTGTAACTCGATAGCCACTCCGATAGATACGAAATTTACAGATTTAGAACCGCTGTGGGTTACCATGACCAATAATACCGTTATCACAGCGTCAAAAAATAATTTTTTAGTATGGAATCATCGTACTCCCCGCAACACCATGTTACATGCAGGCCGGATTAAAAAAGATAAGATTTATCATATCGACGAAACTCCAACCGGAGTGACGGAAGTTATTCAAGACTTAGATAAAGATAGATCGTTCGAAACACCCATTAATACTAAAGCCACTATGGATCCTATTTGTTGTTTATATGCCACCGAGAAGATTTTGTTGATCGGCAGAGAATCAGGAATGATTCAGCGGTACTCGTTACCGCAAATAACTCTGACAAACAGGTACAATTCGTCGTGTAAATTATATAAAATTGCGATCAATTGCGACTCGTCACGCGCGTCGCTTATGGACACGAATGGCATACTAACCATGTTAGACTTGGACATCGATTCGAAGAAAAGCTTGAAAAATGGAGAGGCAGAGGATGACATAAACAAATTTGAAAGGAAAGATGTTTGGGCCATGTGTTGGGCGCAGGATAATCCAGCTCTGTTGGCGATCATGGAAAAGACCAGAATGTACGTGTTAAGAGAATTTGATCCCGAGGAACCGATATCGTGTACCGGATACATTTGTTCGTTCCAGGACTTAGAAATACGTTGCGTGTTGTTGGACGATCTGATGCAAAAGCCAGAAGATACAAAGAACGAGTTGATAGTCGATCTAGAAGTAAAATCTTTGAGGGACACGAGAGAATTATTAACGAAAGTAGGGTTGAAGGAAGCTAACAATTTTATACAAGACAATCCTCATCCACGATTGTGGCGCTTATTGGCCGAATCAGCATTGCAGAAATTGGATTTGGAGACCGCGGAAAATGCGATGGTACGTTGTACCGATTATTTGGGTATACAGTTTATAAAACGTTTGCAAAACGTGCACAACGATCAGTTGAAGAGAGCAGAGGTAGCAGCGTTTCTTGGCAACTACGACGAAGCGGAGAAACTGTACTTGGACATGGATCGAAGGGACCTCGCGATATCGTTGCGTCAAAAATTGGGCGATTATTTCCGCGTGATACAACTAATGAAAATGGGCATCGGTGGTTCCGACAAACAAATGGAACACGCTTACAACAAAATAGGCGAGTACTACGCCGAGAGGCAGAATTGGGAAGGTGCACGGGAATATTACGAAAAGAGCAGAAACTTGGAGAAGTTGATCGATTGTTATTACAAATTGGAAGACTTTGTTCAATTGGCAGGAACGGTGCAACAGTTGCCGGATAAAAGTCCTCTGTTAAAAACGGTCGCGAGAATGTTAGCGTCCGTGGGTATGTGTTCTCAAGCCGTTGCAGCTTACATAAAGTACGGAGACGTGAAACTGGCTGTAGACACGTGTGTTCGGTTAAATCATTGGGATCAAGCGGTAGAATTGGCGAAGACTTACAAGATGGCTCAAATAGGCGAACTGTTGAACAAGTACGCCAACCATCTTTTATCGAATGGCAAGAGATTACAGGCGATAGAGTTGTACAAGAAAGCGAATTACAATCTGGAGGCAGCGAAACTGTTGTTCCAGTTGGCCGAAGAACAGGCCAAGAGTCGAACGAACCCATTACGCACGAAGAAGATCTACGTCCTCGCGGCTTTGCTGATCGAAGATCACATCAATATCACGCCCGCGACTAAGGGCGGTCGTAGTAACATCGTGATGGGTTTAACGGAGAACAATGAAGACACGCGCGTGATAGAGAATGCCTGGAGGGGCGCGGAGGCGTATCACTTTCTTTTATTGGCGCACAGGCAGATATATTCAGGAAACTTCGACGCGGCTATGAAAACTGCTTTGCGTCTCAGAGAATACGAGGATATTCTACAGCCCGAGGATATTTACTGCTTGCTCGCGCTGTCGAGCGCCGTTAATCACGCTTTCGCTGTCTGTTCGAAGGCATTCATCAAGCTGGAGTCACTGGAGATTATCTCGGAATCGGCCAGAGAAGAATACGAGGATCTAGCGGTGGATATCTTTACCAAGCACAGTCCAAAAGACGTTCGTAATTCGAAAGCTGAATGCGCAAATTGCGAGACTTTGATACCTGACTGGTGCGTCGCGTGTCCTAACTGTTCGACCAGATTTCCTCCTTGTATCATTTCCGGAAAACCACTGATGGATCTCGGTAATGCTTGGATATGTACCGTTTGCAGGCATCATGTCGCCACGGAACGCGATGTCGTTAATATTAATGCTTGTCCCCTGTGTCACAGCACAGTTACATATATGTAATTTACGCGGTTGAAAACGTATCGACTATGCATAGTAAAATAAACATTTGTTACTTGTAGTTTAACGAACGAACGCGGTTGCAGCTGACTATGCACATTGATCGTGTAGAGAGCACGTGTTGTGCCTTGATACATATGTATATCGCTTAAAAGTAATTTTTCGACACATCACATAAGTTTAATGCACGAAACGTTGTTGAAAATGTTTATTTTTGATCTCATTTTTGCGTATCGCGTCTGAAATATCTTTTGCGTTTATTGCAATACTTATTCTAAACTAAAAGATACACGAATATTTATGAACTAGATCTACTGAAAAAAACAGACTGTTAATGCCGTCCAATATTTTTATTCGAAATAATAAGTGTTATAAATGTAAGTAAGTTTACATTAAAAGTATTTTAAACTACTTTACGTTTAATCAATTACCTTCTCTTAATATATTTCGTGACTAAAAAATTAATAGAATCAAAAATTTCCCATAGTTTTTTAAATAGAAATAAATTGAACAGTTTGCGCATGGCAACCAGTTTAGCGCGTGACATTTCAAACGAATTATTAGCCAGATGTGTTTCGAATGTGCGCATGCGCGTCCGTACCGGCACACGCTTTCTCCCGCGAGTCGGTTAGTGCGTCTCGAGCCAGCGAGGGGGAAGTTCGGCGTAGCTCCCTCCTTTACGGATAATTTTTGACGTTTCTTTTCAATTTTATCTACTTTTTCGGGAATATCATCGCACCACAGTTTGTTTCGAACTAGTATACGTGCTTGCCGTGCTAAGCCGTGATAATAAATTCATTTTTTCGCGAATGTATAAATATAACAAGTGTCGCGTTCCGCGTATTTGTCGCATTAATTCGTGAGTGTATCGTAAGTGTTTTAAAAAGAAGAATTATGAGTGGTATGCCGTCGATGTTTTGTGTTATCCTGATCCTTGGCGTCGCGACGACCACGGTACGCGCCGGATTAAAATGTGACGCTGTCAAACCGTACTTCGAATCTCAGGGTTTTCCTGCTAGCGACATACCCAAGGAGGCGATTTCGTGTGAGTAACTGCTTGTATTATTCGTATCTCTTATTTTAAGTTTGAATATCGAGCATACAGTGTCATAATTTATCGATAATCTGTCAGAAATTTGCCCGCGTGTGCGTAGACTCACAAGTTTGAAAGTAACGTCTTATTCGTAACACTTGTAACGACAACCGAAAATTCGCATTGAAAATCGTTGATAAATTTATAAGAGCGATTAAAATTACATTAATTTACGATTCATGCGACAATCGTAGACGAAATTATTTCAATTGGACACGTAGAATTTTATTTGGAAAGTATTAATTGCTCGATTGACTAGTTGCGTAGTTGCGCGTCACGTCGAAAGATTCTCAAGTAAAAACTACGGTACTTGGGACGCTACCGTACTTTTTACTTTGGACACTTAATACGAGTTAATTTCGTTTATAAAATGCTATCGATAGAGTGAAAAAGAGATGAACGATGATTAAAGTCGTAAATTGGAACGTTTGTGTCCATAATTTACTACAATTGGTGATTTATCTCGCGAAATTTCGTCGAAATGATTTACAAAGGGGGGCGTTCAACGAAATATTTATGACCGATGAATTATGGGCTGTGTTTCTTCGCGAAGGGGTTACGAATAGGAGAAAAACGAACGAAAGAAAAATTCTGGGAAGTTCTCGCGTCGAAACTTGACACGCTCGACTTAACTTCGAGCGTCCGCATGTATATACGCGTGACCAAGTCCCTCGAAAACCTAATAAACGCTCGTGTTTTTCGAATCGTCCAACGTTTGTTTTGTTTACATTAATCGCGCACGATAGCATTTTAACGAAAGATAATTGCGTAGAATTTCGAGACGGTAACTCTTGTTTTATTTACTGGTTCTCACCAATGCATAGCTGGAAGGCTTCGTTTATCAGCCAGATAGGTGTTTTATATAAACACGTAGCGCCACGTCTCTGACGTTATCGGTTAATGCAATCGAACACGTTCAATTTCGAAAGCATATTTACTCGAATCGACTAGATAATAAGAATCCGTGATATCGATACGATTTAGAGAACAAGTCAATTTATTTTCGTTATATTAACGGTATAATTATCCGGTATATTAACGTTATTTTCACGATAATAACAAGTTTAAAATATAAAATTTCGCGTTTCGGTCATTGAATCGCTATTTATCGATGAGAAATTAGAGTATAAATAAACTAATTTCGAAATTGGAAAAAAGAACGAAAGAAGTTTACGAGATTCGGTTGGCGAGTATCGATAACGAGGTGGACAGTTAACGAGGTGACAATCCGCGTTGTCGAACAATCCTAATACTCGAAACGACCTCTTGTAGCAGCCAATTACAACGTACTCTTTGGTGTGATTTTACGATGCTCGTTATTTCCGAACGATCGATTCGTAAGCGTAAGCATCCGTGAAAAGCGTAGCTAACGAACGCGCGAAATGTTCCGAATCGTTTTTGCGGCTTGTCGCGTTTCCCTCGAGGCCTTTCCATCCTTTCTAACCAGACCGTCATTATTTCCGTCGCGATTATCCATCGAAAGATCGAACCATCTCGCACGGCTGCGAAGTCTGTTAAATCGGTGGAAAGCCGGTACAAACGCGATATATAAACGCGTGCATCCGTTCGCGTATGTACACTAGATACAGTCGTCGCGATAAAACGTGAAACGAACGCCTCGGCGGTTTTTTTCTTTTTCACTTTACTTGCCGTACCCGTTCACTGGCTCTCGCTACCTCGCGCTCTTCCCGGCGCTTTATCTGCCGCGAAACCGGCACAGTTTTCCTTTCATCTCGCCGATAAACGCGCTCGTGTTTGCACGAGCTGACAAGAAACAATAATTAAAATAAATTCCTTCGCCGACGAGCAGACGATTCCAGTATTTTCGCGATTATAGATTTCTAGAATAACGTGATTCGTGTCCAACTATTTCGCGTGACGTCCCTCGACTCGTTCGAGTAGCTCGAAAGCACCGTTCCGCGATAATACATCGGGTTGCGTCAACGCGATCGTAAAAAGCGTGTCGAACGAGCAGTTAAAACGAGCGAACCGATGACGAAGAGCATCCGGGAGCTAACAGGAAACAGCCTTGACCCTGCGCGTTTTTACCGTTAGGTACCATCTTCCTATCGGCTTTATCTCTCTCTCGTTCGACCGTGTCGTTTACCCGATGCAAACTTTCGACGACGATTACCTGCAACGAGCACGATTAGCTGTCTTCTACCTGAAATCTCTAGGCTCGTCGTCTGGCAAACGGAGCCGAGGTTTATTACCTCGCAAGCGTACTTTTACCACCGCGAGACACCGTTGCGATGCTTTTAAATCGATTCGTTCTTCTCTCGAGAGCTCTTTTCGTTTCCCAGGGAATTTCGAGCTCGTCGATCGAACGATCGGGCAAATTTATGTACGTATTTGTCGGTGATCCATCGTTCGCTTAATCGGTTTCTTTCGAGCGCCACGCATCGTCAGACGCTAAAAGACGTTCGACTAGTTTCTCCGCGTACTTTGTCAAGGCTTAGGGATCAACGAGGACGCTAACAAATGCTCGGACGCGTTGGACAGACTCACGAAAGCGTGTTCCAGGATCACCAGACGTCTTAAGTATTATCCAGAATCGCTGGAGGTATCGCGTTTCGTTCCCTTAATCGCGGACGATTCGTCTTCCTCTTGTCCCAACGATGCTGCGACTCGATCTTTGAAAATCGCCTCGAACTTTACCCGCTTCGGTACAACGATTATTCTCCATTAACGATATTCCTGACGTTTCCAAATTTATCGTTTCATAGAGCAGAATGTTTTCCAGGGCCATTATTCGGCCGGAGTATAGCGAGACCATTGTGAGATCTCCAAGGAGTTTGTATCAGGTACTAGACGCTTCCGATGAGTTGGCTAGAATTTTCTGACCATCTTTCTCTTACCTTGCGGAGTTTCGTCGGAAGAAAAGCCTTGGGCCAACGACGGGGATGAACCGACTTTTCCTTGGACTTTGTGCTTCTGCCTTTCGGCATTGTTCTCGTTCCAAGCACGACTCCTTTTCTTTAATTATTCCCCGGCTTCTCCAGCCGTTCAAATAATTTCATATCGAAGTATTACGATTGTTTAGAAGGAAAAAGCAGTTTTAATGAAATCGTTGATTGCCGGCACTCGAACGACTTGTCGTAAATGCGTATAAACGCGTTTCGTATTACGAGATCTTCGAATAAATTCGTGATAAATTATGCGAAGTTCGATACGACAGTTTTAGGAAAAATTGTCGAACGTTTAAGTCGAGGAAAACGGAAGCTTATAGCGGTATCGATTACAAGGACTCGCGATTCGATTACAGCGTGAAACACAGCGGTGGCAGGATAGTTAATTCACCTTGTGTAGGTACATAAATGAAACTGATACTAGACGCTATTACCGGCGTCCGAACAATTGATTTATGGATCACGATATACTGGATCATGGCTGATAAACGATATGTTTCTTCATTAAGCCCTGTAGAACCGGTACCTACATTAATTGTCGCGCCTTGTAAGGACAGCGAAAAGAGGCAGACGGTCTCGCGAGAACGTTCATTCTTTCTTTTTGATTAATTAAATATCGTGAGATATTAAATGTCGTTGAGTTTACGAACGTTCTTTCCACGTTATTGTAATTAGAGGACATTTCAATAATATCGATTTGCATGTTCGTGCGATTACTCAAACTGGACAACATTCTCTGTTCGATATTTACGATCTTCGAGGCATAAAACGATTAAAGTTTTAAACGATCGTTTATTATAGAGGGTAGAATATCATCAGGGTTATGTATCGATAGCTTTCGAAAGGATTTCATTCCACGGATAGTTTTCTCGAAAATGGAGCAGTAGGAGGAGAGACGGCGAGGACAGGGATGCAACAGCGTCCACGATCTACGGTCCACGGAGAGTTAAGTTATGACAGGCTGAAACTGGCTGAAACGTGTCGTCAGCAGCAGCGAACCAGGACCGGCAACGAGGAATGCAGAAAGCTGGAGTTTCATAGAGAGATACGCGGCTCGTGGTAGAATATAACCGGCCGAGTACGTTTAATGGTCGCTGTTGTAACTTGGAACTTTTTAAATAACCATCCCTAGTCCGAGGTGTTCCCTCGGTTAGCTCGGAAAACCAGCTCACCTTGTTTGCCTGTTCACGATGAGTCTCTGGCTGATATATGTATACGGGAACGTGTTTGCTGATACAATGCCACCGACTCGAAACACTTGGGCGATCGTAACCGTGTTATTTATGCCGCTTCTCGCCTTATCTTATCGGAACTAACGCAAAATTTCTTGCTCCTTATCTTTTCTATGTTTTCTCGAGAAGCTACTTTACGAAAGATAGAGCGATCGAATAATACAATTAACGTCGAGTTAAATCGATAGTTGTTCGCGAATGGCTCGATACGGAATAAAGATGAAAGATCGTTTAGGAATTCCGGATGCTATCTCCTCGCGTATCTAAAGTGCATCTTCGAATTTGAAATTCTGATACTCGTGGATGGTCGTTCGTCGCGTGCAAAGATTCCACGGGATGCATATGCATCGCTTCGGAAAAAATGGGAAACACGTTTCCACAACGAATATATGGATATTTCTGTTTGTCTTCCTTCGATTTCGTATGCCGACTGGCTACGCTTTTTCCAACCCGATCTTGTCATTATCATTCTTTATTGTTCGAATAATCGAGAAAGAAAAAAGCAGCCGGTGGTTACGTTTATACCGCGTATATTCGCTCGGAGAAAGAAAGGCGAATCGGTGGAACTTTATATCTCGTTTGCCGCGTAATAATAATTTTGGCTGAGTTTGTACTCGCGTTACGGGGACTCCCTTCCGTTACCTGACACTACTCCGGAATGCAGCAGGGCTTTCGAAGGGAGAGGACACAACGCGCTTCATGCTACTTTGCACACCGATATTAGCTCGTGTTGGCATCGGCGCGTATACCCTGCTCTACCATCCTGACGGCAACTTGCCCCTGGAGCTTCGTCGTCTCTCCCCTATCGAGG